AAGAAACGTTCCTCGCCGCGTCGTCGAAAGGAATCCCCGTGGCGGTCGAGAAATCACTTTAAAACTCGGGAGCTCGAGCGGCTTAATCTGTGATTCTTTCGCCGAGAACGGTCCACGCGTGGGGAAGCTGTTGTCGAGCGATCGGGATTAGACGTTAAGCAGCTTTTACGCGAGAACGTGTTAGGACACGTGTTCACCGAGAATACCACCGAGTTATCCTTCTTCCTCGCCGACAATGATTCCTCCGTGTGCCTATACCCCTTTGAAACGACGACGAGAGGATATACGGGTCGAAGAGGCAGTGATACGGAGTTGTACCCATTATAAAAAGAGAAATGAATGCAGCTGTTGCGATTTTTAAAAATACCTCTTCCGTTGAAAATTTTTGTTTAAAAAATCCTATGCGAAATGATTATTAAAGATTCGACTCCAATACTTCCACGTGGTCGTAACGTGCATCTCAGGGGAGCTTGGCTCAAGAAAAATCACTGTCCGTCTCGAGCAGGCAGGCGAAAGTGTGGAAGGGAACATTCCCAAAGGTCGAGGCGCATCGTTGGCGCAACTTGCTCGTAGCCCATTCCCGCCGTGATAAATCTTCATTTCGAGCTTGATCTAATAATCTAATATTCCCGTTGAATTACAGCTTTGTTCGAATATGCCCTCCCCCCCAACTCCGACATCTTTGGTAATTTTGACCGGTGGGATGGGCGGGAGGGTAAAACGAGGTGGATAGCGGCGTTTCCTCGTGTTTCCACCACCCTTGTCGGCCCGTATAAATCAAAGATATAATTATTCGAAATTGTGGGAACCGGGGAATACGCAGGGAAACACGTGTACGTCTTCCGCGCAAATTGCGGCCGGGTATCGCGCGCGTGTTGTGACCTGAATTCTGAGGCAATCAGCGGGCCGGCATTAAATTACATATGCGCTCTATCGGTTCGAGAGGCCGCCACTTCGATGACGTAATTAGTCAACGACGTAATACGGTTGCTGGTAATATAGCTACCAATTAATGTAGAAATCCCCCCGGAGTTGTCGACTAATTAATGAAGCCTGAACGATCTACTAATTCCCGAGCAACCCAACGTCGTCGACTCGATACCCTTTTCATCGTCACGAAATCTTCGTTGGAGAAAGAGAGAAAGAGAAAGAGAGAGCGTTAATACACGGCGGATGGGAATAACCAACTTCCCTAACGTACTTACAAAAACTGTAATTTCTTCTTTAACCTCGTTTGTTCTGCCAATATTTTCGAAGATGTTGCGATTAACGGGAAAAATATTTCTCCTTCTCCCATTCTCGGAAGAGAGAGAGAGAGAGAGAGAGAGGGAGAGAAATATTAAACGCAAGCGTTTAAGAAAGCGTTCAAGGGATAGCGTATAGCGTGCTCGTGACGAACGAGCAAGGGGGAGGGGAAGGAGGAATGTGGTTCCCGTTGAAGAACTCGAGCGGCGGAAAGAGGCGAACGCGAAAAGTGCGCGCGTCTCGCAATGGTCGGCACGAGACACATTGTACGGCTAATTAGTGGCAACTTTATCACGGTGAAGTTGCTTGTTCCAGGTAAATACATGAGAAAGAGCGGGCGCCATTTGAAATTCGCTTTGCCAACGATACACACGGCCGGTGTATATTTAATAGAGTCTTAATTGGAGTCGACGGCTCGAAAGGTTTAATTGGACATCGTTCCGCCGCGGTTTCCGCTCCCTTCATCCCCTCCCGCTTTTTTCTCTCCCCTCCCCTCCTTCCTCCTCTCCCTCTCTCCATCTCCTCCTCCTCCTTCTCCTCCTTCCTCGCGCTCGCTCGCGGAACCTCTCGGGTTACATAGTCAATGAGCGATGGTTCAAAGGATATCAAGATGTTCGTTTGAGCGCGCGCTGTCTCTGTCCGCTTGAAACATCTCGCGCTCCCCCTATCCCCCGCTCCCCTCCCTCCTTCCACTCGATACACTCTCGGCCGACTCGAGTTTGCGTAACTTGGAAATCACTTGCCGCGCTCCGCCTATTAATTAAACTTAACTTCTCTCCCCCTTGTTCAATTTTTTAACTGACGCGAAACTCTCCACCGGCCACCACGCGGCATCGCCGGGCGAAGAGCATTCCGGCGAAGATCGCTTTCCGACAGATCGGCCGCGGCGCGGTCGCGTTCCGTTTGCCGGGAAGAAAGAAGAAGTCCTCCTCCCGAAGAAGAATTTGCCGAGAGAAATTTTCGTGTGTAAAAAGTTTAGAAGAAGGAAGGGAGGGAGTTTCTTCGAACTTTAGTGACCGATTTTGTCGACCCCGATTTTTTTGAAATTTTTATTAAACTTTAAATATCCGGAGCTTGGAGAGAGAGAGAGAGAGAGAGAGAGAGAGAGAGAGAGAGAGAGAGAGAGAGGGGGAAAGAAGGAAAGAGGGGAAAAAACAACGATTTAATCTATACTATTTGTACATATAGAGAACATGGAAATAATGTTAAAGATCGTTTAAGGAAAAGTCAAAGTGATTTTAGAAGTCGCTCGAAGGTAATTTAAAAGTTTCTTCGAACTTCTTTCCCCAATTCGCAATGAAAATAACTCTGTCTATAGTTCGGTCTAACTACGTCTACCAAGTATTATTATTTTATAAACTATTTCGCAAACTATCTACTAATCATAATAGTAGTTCGTACTTGGTCCTTACTTCGTTCTTTCGTACGCGTATATCGCGCATCCTCGTGCATAGAAATCGAATGGAAATATTTCACGTATGTAAAAGGTTGATCGACAATCCATCCGATTAGCTATTCAAACGGTGCAAAGATGCAACGAGTCGAAAGTAAGAACGAGACACGGCAGAGTTATCGTGAACGAGAGGATGGAATTATTAACGCTTGATCGAGCCACTACTCGTCGTTGTAAGCAAACGGTGGCGAGCGAATATTTTTTTTTCCTCTTCTTTTCTCTCTCTCTCTCTCTCTCTATCTCTCTCTTTCTCTCTCAATTCGAGTATCGATCGATCATCGAAGTCGTGCTTTCTCTCTCTCTCTTTTTTTCTCCCTCCCCTCGTTTTTTTCCTCCTTTTTCCCGCCCCCACTCCCTCCTTTTTCCGCACGCCGGTCACCGTCAACGCTGCGAACGACGCTGACGTTGAGGCGTAAGTCGGATGTAAATGGCATAAAAAGTTTTGAGCGTGCATATGCACGAGAGTCGGTGGTGCAACCGGGTGCGGCGGGAGTATGAACAAGGGTGTGGTGGCGGGGCGTTGGTGGAATATGGCAACTGGAATTGCACACTGGCAGAAGCGAGAGAAAGAGCCGTGGCCTCGGGAGAGAAAGAGGGACGGTTTGAGAGGCAACGACAGAGAGAGAGAGAGAGAGAGAGAGAGAGAGAGAGGGAGGGAGGGAGGGAACGAGACGGATAGAGAGGCAAAGTGACAAAGAGAGGCGGAGGAAAAGGGAGAGCGACGAGAGGGTAGAGGCGGGCGACGATCAATACGCCATCAGCTTAAATTACAATAATAACGGCGACCAGACAAAGCTGAGCGCGCTATTATAAAATAGTGAAGTCGTAAAAAGCTTCGGTATCGCGGGGGTTCACCCAGGCTTGGACAAACACCGTGCCCCGTTTTAATCGGTGCCGAAAATAAAATGTTGGCGGGGTATATCGGGGGTCGAAGATCCCAATGGATCAGTTGCCCATTACCATTCCTCGTTCGTTATTTAGACCGATGTTATTTAGATCAGGGTCGATGGAGGGGGAAAGGGAGAGGGGAGGGGTTTCATCGATTTGCGCGGAAATAGATCCATTATACGTATGCTGCCCATACGTGGCGCGTTTCACGGGCGTTATTAAACGGCCGTTTCGATCGATCATAGACGGTCAATTTTAACGCGGTGGTTCACGTACGTATCTTCGTCATTTCGCAATTACGCGCATATCTGGTGATAAAAAAAAAAAAAAAAAAAAAAAAAAAGCGCGCGATTCTCGCGACAAGCAATTACGCGTCAATATTTAAATCGAAACGATATTAATGTTTATGGACGCGTTGAAATCGTAACGATGCCCCGAACTCGCGGGGGATGAGTTTTAAATTTTCTCGGGATAAACGCATCAACGGATTAATAATAAAGATTCGTACGTGCGGTTGTCACGGCGCGTAATTAACGCGATAAAGTAATGTAGGAAAATGTAGAATGTAAACGGAAAGGGGAGAAAACGGAAATAAATGTAAATTTGTCGAGAGCGTACCGGCTCGAATAATACGTAACAGCGACAAAGAAAGGTCTTTCACGGTTGTGAAAAATTGATATCTCGAGATCTTTGTCCGTTTCAACGAGTCTGCGGAGATTTCTTTCCCCGTCCGAGAGACTCGAAATGCATTTTCGAGGTATCAAGGGGGAAGACGATCGTAGAAAAATTGATGAAAGATATAGGGTACGTTTCCTCTTCTCTTTTTATTCCTTTTTCTTAATTACGATTCATGGAGAAACGTTGATCGCGCGAACCTTGAAGTAACGCATCAGTAGTTCCAAAGTCGCAAACTTTTTCCTCGTTTTCACGATCGAAGCTCTGCCTTCAATCGGTCAACTACGAGCTCGCTTGCTTTCCTTTCGAACACTTAAAGCGGAACGTTTTGTCGACCGAAAATAGCGATTCTGTCCCAATATCGCATCCCGATTTATTAAACCTTTATTTTTTTATACTTTCCGCTTTTCAAATATTCATCGAGCTATTCTAAAGACACTTTTCCAATAAATTTTACAGAAAAGAACAATTGAAATATAAGAACGATATAAGTGCTCGACTACTATTACACCTGCTTTATTATAAAATTGAAAACTATATCCAGCTAGTTGTTCACAATAATAGCATCTTCTTATTCACAATAATAGAATCTTCGAACAACCTCATTCGATAATTTCCTTTGTAAATCCGAAAAAATGTCAAATACCTCTTTGTAATCGAAAATTATTAAATCTGCTTATCGGAAAAGAAGAAAAAGAAAAATTGGTGAAATTGAAGCAAGTTTTCCCTCCTGTTTCAGACCCTCATACCCCAGTTCCGCCGAGGTTCAACGAACGAGTGAGTCCAGCGCCTATAAGGACGGGGGAGACGATCGTCCTTTCCTGCATCTCGCAGGGAATCCCTCCACCCATGTACCTATGGTTTCGCGAGTCCGTGACGGGGACTGCGATGATCTTCAATTCGGAGAGGATCTACGCGAGAGCAGGGGTCCTCGTGCTGCAGTCGGCGAGGGCGGAGGACGCGGGACGATACGTGTGCCACGCCAACAATACGGCCGGTTCCGAGATGGTCGAATTGGAAGTCTCCATTATAAGCAGCCTCTCCATCCACCTGGTGCCTCAACAGGTTAGTTTTCGATACTTTAATCTTCGTATCGACCGTTTCCTCCTTTGCACAAGCCCAGAGCCATACGTTCGACGTTTTTATTCGATATCGCTTGTATTTATCGCTTATTTTTACCCTTTCGAACTCGATAATACATACGAATGCGTTTTAAAAGAAGGAATGTCTTCTTATGGTTCGAAAAAAATTCGAGTAATTACGTTGATTATATATATATAAAATGTTTGAAGTGTAATTTGTAAGTAAAAGGATGGCAAGAAACTTTATCCGGAATAAAAAGTACGTATACGAACAGCCTCTCCATTCACTCGATATTTCAACAGGTTAGTTCAGCTACTTTCGTTTAATCTTTGTAAACCCGTCGAATTATTCCTTTCGACGGAGATCTTCCGTCCATTTAATTTCTTTTACTCCATACATCAGGCACTTTATCGTAACGATGAGAAAAATATGCGACGACGAATCTCTAAAGAAAAAAATAAAAAAAGGGAAAATGTGTAGCCCGTGATCGCGAAGAGATTTAAAGTCGCGAATAAGCTAAACTTTGAAAGAGGCAACAGTTTCAACAGGTTACCATCCATTTCCTTTCGAATGGATATCACCGACCATCGGATTCCTTTTTATCCGCTCGAACGACAACTTTGATCCGGATTCCGCCGTTCAGTCGGCGATACGGTAGCACGATTATTTAAACGAAGAAGTTTCGCGCGCGAGATCCTCGAAAAATTCTACTTTTTCCCTCTCTTCTCCCCTCTCTCTCTCTCTCTCTCTCTCTTTCGCAGTGACAAGTCTCAACAGGTTAACGGCATTCTATCCGGCATCGATTGGATTTCTGAAACGAGTCGAACGATTCGCTCGTCGCCTTCCTGTTTCACCCTTCGCCGGATAATCCTAATCCTTCGAGAAATCTCGAGGGTGTCGCGCCGATATTCTCGATCGAGCGACGACCAACGAACGCGACGCTCTTCTGCCCCGTCTCGGCCACTTCCGCCCCACGAATTTTTCGAAAGAAAGAAGGATAGATCGATTCGAAATAAATTTTTCAAACGAGGGATTGCGTACGTACGCGCTCACGCCCGTTTCTCAAGTCGTGGTGCAAAAAAAGATCGTGATTCTCTCGATGATAAGTAGCTCCTCCTCTTCATCCGGGGGTTGATACCTCAACAGGTTACCTCTCCTTTATTCTATTTCGTAAACAACTCGAGTGCCGCGGAGCGGTTACTTTTTCTTTCTCTTCCCCTCTTTTCTCTCTCTCTCTCTCTCTCTCCTTTTCCGCCCTTTCATCCCCGTTCCTTTTCCAGTCAGCGCGTCTAAAGCTTCTCAATGAGCGCCGTTTCTATTTTCAAAACAGATTCTGCAAACTACCTCGCTGCCTGCTCCTTCCCCCTTCCCTCGACAACAGTAAACAGTTCGTTGCTCCGCGACTTTGTTAAATCGATGAGACGTATCTCCCTCCCGTTTCTCTTCTTATCTCCGATTCGAGAACGGTAGACGACGATTCGACACGGATAAATATATATCCTCGTTGCATCGGGAAAAGCCGTGAGACGACGAGATTAAGGGAAATTCCATTTTCCCTGGCCAAACTGCTAATTCGCACCGACGTGTATAATTGAGCGCCGCGACGGTAGTAAACACGGGGATGATCGAGTTGTTGGCATCGTTGCACAAAGGAGACGGTTAATTCCCGGAATACGGTCGGAATGCGCGAATATCGGAACGAGAAATAACTCATCATGGACGGACGAAACTCGGATCTCCTTAATAGGAATTAATTATTAGCATTAACTTTCGTCAGTTAGTCAGTGGTCTTAGACGATGGCCGAGTCGCGACTTCTTCGCCTGTTTCTTTGATCTTTTAACGAAAATTGTTCTCGTTAATTGTTCTCGTCGCGATGTTTTCGCGGGGCCATTGTGCGCGACGATAAAGGCGAAGAGAAGAAGCCGGACGGGATGGATGACTCTCCGGCTCGTGGATCGATCACGAGAGGGAGGGGGAAGTGGAGGATGGCGGCATGATTCAACGAGAGGCCGCGTCTACGTGACCCGCCGCCGTTCCTCGCCGCGCGAAAAGTTATCGGATCGGGCGTCAACCCCCGGCTGAATTCGCGAAAATTCGCGTGGAGCCAACTCGACCACGCAAATCGCATATCCCGATCGAGTCGCGGTGTAAGCGTATTAACGCCGGCCCGTCGATTGCTCGTGCAAAGCCGAATAATTAATAACGTTTGAAACGAAACGTGAAAGGGGGGAGAGGAAATACGTTGATCCACTCACCTACCGTTTTCCCTCCTCACTGCCGTTCCATTTGCCAGGATATTTTCAAAATATCCTGTCGGCCAACGTAACCATTCAATTAACCCTGTCGACCATCCCTGTAAAATAACGAACGAATTCGAGAAACTATACGATACTCGATTCCAAAATAGAAATTTGGGTTAAATTATTGGAAAAGAGGACGAAATACGGGGATGAGATCTCCGACTAACGATAATCGGTGAATCGTGTAAAGGAAGGGATAGGGATCGGGCAAATGGAGCGTGTCGCGTTGTGTGCACGTGTGCGTGTAGAGAGGAGAAAGGAGGTGGACTCGATGAAATAGCATTCGTTCCCAGGAAGGTTCTCGCATAACTTTTGCAATCATCAGCAAAGAAAGCCTTATTGAGGAGGGATTGTCTGGTATATTGGCTGCCATTCTCGCTCCTACGTCGCTTGCTTCCTTCCATTAACGCGGTCGACTTTGCCGTCGTTTTATTAAAAGCATCGCGTCGCGTCTTCCCGTCACGCAACGCTTTTCAACCTGCAACTTTTCCGTGTAATCGATTTTTCGGTCAGCAATTTCACGGATAATTACGGAGATAAGGGATGGATTCGCCCCTTATTACGAATCGCTCGAGATAAACGCGTTGATCGACGAACTTTTTCCCCGAATTTTCCATTTTTTTTTTCTTCTCGGATACGCGAAGATCTTTCCTCCGCGAGCGACTCGGATATACGATAGTCAGGTCGACTATAAGAGAATAAATAAGGAAAAAGAAAATAAAGCGGAACAATCCGATTTATTCAGTAACAAAGATCTTTCCATTCGTCTGATCCTATGGAAACGTTCACTTGACGACGTTCTCGCGAGCGTAGCGAATCGAGAAAATTCCACTGCGTTCCACTCCACCGTAAGTACACAATTCTACGTTTCCGCGAAATTTATGATTATTTGCCCCTTATTTTTCTTCAAATTCTCGTAATAATTTTCTCCCTCTCTCTCTCTCTCTCTTCTCTCGCTCCATTCATCCGTTATGGGAGACAGTTCGAAAGAAGAGACCTCGCCGCTATGTATCGCGTTTATATCGATGTAAACGCATCGTTGGTCGTCGTAATAACGCGTCTCCACGGCGCGAGGAAAGGGACTCTGGAAGAACGGAGACAAAAGGAATCGCGAGGCGCGGCTCGTCGACGCCTTCGCGGATTCGCCTTTTTTTCCCCTCCCTCCTTTCTCTCCTCGCCTCCTCAAGCTCGTTCCCTCGCCTTTAAAGGCGCCATCCTTGCGCGTCTTATTTCCCATTCCTTCCTCGGCCTGCTTGAATACCGTATCAAAGGATATTTAAACCGGTCTTCGGTTTGAAAGAAAGTTTCCTTTGGGGTCGTGGAACAAAAGAAGCCAGGCGAGAGCCAACTCGTGCGCGCACTCCTCTCTCGACGATATTTAATGGCCGTAGCCGTGACGGTCGCCTCGATTCCGCTCGAATTTCTCCCGATCGTTCGCGCAATATGAATATAAATCCCACGTTTATCTCCACGATCCGCGACACGGGGAGAAATACAGAGAAATCCTCCTTTTTTCTCTCTCTCTCTGTACAACGCTCATATATACGCTGCACGAGGAATCTCTTCTCTTCGATCCTTTGCCACGCGCGAGAGACCGCTTTCGAAATTCATGACCCGAGGGCGGTCGCGTTACTCGGCCCGAAGTGTGCGTTACGTACACCCATATGCACGTACATACGTCTCTCCCTCCCTCTTTCTATCTATCTATCTCTCTGTATTGATGTATCGGTGGTAATCAGGGCGCAGAATCGTTCTGGCCGTGTGTATATGTGCGTGCATCAGTATCCACACTGGATAAACGAGCCTCTTCAATAATACATAAGACGGATTCCTGGCGAGATCAAAGCCTCGTTTCCTCGATCGGTGATCAATTAAGCGCAAGACGCAAGACGCGTGCGGAAATATCAGTAGATAGGAGGCCACTCGATCCGAATTCGATGTCTCGCGGTCTACTCCCCTCCCCTCCCCTCTTTCTCGACTACATCGAGCTCTTTTCCACGGTTAATCCTTCCCACGCTCTTTTAACGTCGATAATGCTCTCTCGTTTCTGGCGTGTGTAAATAATCGAGTTGGAAATATCCAAAAAAAGGAGATCGATACGCGTTCTGGTTATTTTAACGCGATAAAAGACTCGGTTACGAAGACGCTCGGTTTACGATCCACTTTCCCTCGTATCCAAGAATTCTTCTCTGAACCTATCGTCCGTTTCGTGTTCCTATCGATCATTTCGTTGAATGCGCGACCCGGTTTTGCGAACGATTCTCGTTAATGATAAATCAGACGGGGGAATTGATCAAAGGGAGATGACCCGGAAGCGATTAAGCTCTTTCGGAAGGATGAAATAGCCAACATTCGATTTCGGCCCGGTATGCCAGGCCACACTCGACTGGAATTCGAATTCCCCTGTCGTTGTGTCTAAGCACGTTAGGCGTTTTCTATCGGCGTTCCACCAAATTATTGCGCGCCACCCTAACTACTTCTCATTACGTTATCGTATATTCCAAAAAGATTTTTATCCAAACGTTTCCACAAGACCCGGATCTTTTGCCATTTCTCAACGCGCGATCGTTTTGACGGGGATCAAAACGATCGATACTTGATCAAAGTATTCGAAACGAGATGAAAATGGATGGTATTAAACACGCAGCTGATCCCTTCACCTCGTACGAAATATTCGAGCGAACCGATATATCGTTGTACGATCACGACCATACATCGTATATATCTATCTATATAAATTCATGCTCGATGATTCGTTAACGCGCGCAGAATCGCGTACTCTCTCGTATTGGACAGTCAGCTTTTCGAAATCCTTCCTCAGCCTCGTGTGTATATATATATATATATGTGAAAATGGATGTTCACGTTGGAAGGAAGATCGCGCAGCAGCTGTGGTTGGAAGCAGATTCCAGAAGCGGAATCGTGACGCAGCCAACTTTTCCCCGGGTTACGATATTAAGTTCTAAGGACAGTCGGGATATTAAAAGTGACATTTATTGGGGTACGTGCGCCGGTTAACATAACCGGAATCGATAACTGTTGCAGGTGACCGTCGACCTGGGCAAGGACGCGGAATTCCAATGCTCGGTCACCGGCCAGCCAATCCCCGTCATATTCTGGACCAAGGACGGGCTTCCCGTGGGAGAGAGCGCCTCCGGTAGAAGCAAGATCACCGGCAACGATGGATCCACGTTGCGCATTTCCTCGGTGGTGAGGGACGACAAGGGGATGTATCAGTGCTTCGCGAAGAACGACTACGAGATGGTCCAAGCGACCGCCGAGTTGCGTCTCGGGGGTGAGTCGCTTTTCTAACCGCTTTTGAGAGGCGAGTGACTCGTCCTTGATTTCCTGATCCCTGGTAAAGGCCAATTAATAAAAAGCGCGGTATTAATTTATATAGCATATTCCTTGGATCTTTATCTTTTCTTCATTAAGAAATGTGTTTCACTTGTGTACGTGTAGAATCGTTTCAAGTTCGCCCGAGTGAAAAAGTCGTCGAGCCGCAAAGGGTTAATTCTAAACCCTTCCTTGTGTTCGCCTGTGTTTTTATGAACGGCGGGTGGATAAGACGAGGGAAAAGAGGGACGAGAGATCTCGGGGTTGGCGTTAAATGGCGGCCGCCACTGGCGCCAAATTGCCCTCCTCGAAAGTTAAAAATTTAACCGCGATGAGAATATATCCCGAGTCAAATCCATCCCCTATCCGGTTGATACTTTCTTCGCGTTTAAACCGGACACTGATAGACGGATCAGTATATATATATATATATATATATATATATATATATATACGTATAACGCTCCTCGTAACCTGCCTCCCTTGCGGGTTACACGAGCTTCATAGAAGTTTTATAAAAGTTCCGTCTGAAAATAATAAGGCTGAATTAAAGCTATTACCGGACCACCGTTAACGAAGGGTGGTCAAGGGTGGTCTCCATTGCGAAACTTTTGTACCATTTTCTTTATTTTTTTCTCTCTCTTTTTCTTTATTTCGGATGGCTTTTCATCGACCATTCGCGAAACTAAGTCCACTCCAACACGATTAAAAAAAAAAGAGAGAGAGAAATACGTATTACAATAACGCTTTATTCCGTTTTATTCTCCCTCTTTGGATGGGGGTTAAGTATTTTTTAATTAAAATAACGGAAAAGTTCGAGCCTTCGAATGGAAAGACTTCTTTCGAGGCGAAGAACGCGTGGAAACTTGGTCCTTGGATGACAACGGCCGGCCCGATATCGAACCGAAAGTATAAAATTCCCCGAACCCTTTGGTTTCGATCAGAATTTCACCTGGAATTTATATCCAGCCTGGCAACGCGATTCCACGCTTCGTCGCATCCGGCTGCTCTCCCCATTCCCCTCGACTTATCTCGAGCCAAGGGGGTAGTGTCCTTCTTATCTTCGCCCACGTCTTCCCCTCTCGTTCAATACCGAATTCTTTCGTTACTACGTCGGTTCCTCTCTCGATTTCTTCTCGTCGTCTCCGCGGCGAATGTGGCCCATTCTCGCGTGCGAAACGAGCTCGAGAAAGGCGGCGCGACAAGAAGGGTCTGGCTCAGGAAAAAGGGGGAATAACACCGCGAATGGAGGAAGTTAGAAGGCGCGTGAAGGACGAAAAGGAAAAATCGAAGAAGGAAGAACAACGAAACGATGAGAGAGAAAAAGAGAGAGGGAGGGAGGGAAGAAAAACGAGGAGGAAAGGCGTCGAGAGAGGGAAGAAGAGAGAAAAAAATGCTTAACGAGGGCGATGCATAATGGAGAAAGGAGAAATCCACTGGCTGGCGTGCCGTGAAATAAATACATGCCATTTGTCTTAGTCACGAGGGTGGGAAGCCGGGCGAGACTGCCGCCAGCTCGTGGAAGTGAAAGAAACGCATCGCCAACCAGCCGAGAGGGATGAGAAGGTTGGTTAAAAGTGTTGGTATCCGCTCGAAATTCTCGCGTGAAAAAGCAACGGCGAACGAACTCGTGGCTAGGACGAATGACGCTTCGTGAACCGAATATTCCACGGCCGACGGTGTCTTTAAATACGGCCGGTAATGCGAGAGTGACACGATTCGTTCCCTTGAACGATCGACCATCTTAAGCGCGTGAACGTACTCGACCCCTATTTTTGTTATATTCTTAGATGTCGCGTACGTCCACGTATATCGTGAACCATTGGCCAACATTTCTTTCGGAGTGTTCGACGTCTTCGTTTTCAATCTCTCTGCCCCTCGTGACAATTCCCCGATTCTCTCGTTGCCACGAGCTCATTTCGAGACGCGTTAAAAATCGTTGAGAAGCGAATTAAATAAGAAATCGGTAGAGGGTGGCGCGTAATGTTGATTTTTAATTAAAGGAAATGCTTGCTTTCGCGCCTCGCCCGATTTTAACGGCTGCGTTACGCGCGGTGAAAGTAACGACTTTGCAATCGACAGACGTCAATTAAACGTCAAAAGCCGTTGAAAAACTAATAACTTCTCGTTTTAAGTTTCACCGTGTAATTACTTGCGATCGGTTCGAACCGAAGACCGAGTGTCGCCTCCGCATTATTCTCGCTATTCTCGTTTCTTCGCGTGCATCGAACGATATCCTCGTCGCGCATAGAGAAAAGTCAGGCGTCCGTTTATTTTCCATTCGACTATTTTTCAGTCGGGGCGTTTGCGCGGCGGTGGAAATTTTTAAACGTTGGAATTTTCATCAAGGTGGAAAACTCGTTCCATTCTCGCCCGGTTAATAACTTTCTCTTTTCGTTCGCCGATAAGTCACGACGTTTATAGGGTCCTTTTGTTCGCGCGAACATGCGACCTTCTTCGTTACCATTCTTCTAAATAATTTATGCATTCCATTGAAACGTGAATTTGAACAAAATAAAAGATTCGAGAATCTTTTTTTTTTTTTTTTTTTTCCGTCCGTTTCTTCTTTCTCACACATACACTCCCTCTTCTCTCTCTTTCCTTTTTTCTTCATCTCGATGCGTATCGCTTTGTGTAACTCGAAATAATTGGAAGCGAACTAATCCTCTCGGATAACAAAGGGAAAGAATCAAAGCGGCCAACTTTTGTAACGATGTCGAACAAGTCTTTGAAAAGAGGGAAACAGATGTACGTAGATGTACGTACGTACGTAACGTAACGTAACGTACGTAGAACGTTATTCTATCCACTGTATTGTATGTGTGTGTTTTTTTCCCTTCCTCTCCCTCCCTCTCTTTCTTTCAATTTATTTTGCCGAAGGGAAGAGGGGCGGGGGAAAGGAAGCAGAACGGTTTATGGAAAGTACATATGGCCGGTGAAAAAAGAATTAGAGAAAAAGAGAGAGAGAGAGAGAGAGGAGGGAATAACCGCCGATTTTGGCGGCAATCCAAATGATTCCGCGAGAAAATTTCGCCGCTCGTGAAATTGGGAAATATTTCGTAGGAATGCCGGCGTTAAATTTTCTCGCCTCCAACAGGACTCAAGTACTCGCGAACTCGGCGTTTTATTTTTTTAAATGGACATTCGAACAACGAGGAGAGGCGTGAATTCCGATCCGATTTTTAATATACCATCGTCCCGTCGTCGTTTTCATAGAAATCGCGAGAAATCGGAGATCCCGATACTGGCAAACTTCCATTTTATTTATATCGCTTTAACGCGTTTACAGAGGAGGGCAATCACGCCACGGTAAATAATGTCTTCCTGTCGAATTACCCGATCGCAAATCGCGCCGCGCCGCGCCGCTCTGATACGCTCTGTTTCCCATCAACGGGGATTCATTCGCGATTTCCACGCGCGATCCAGAAAATGAAACACGTCACGCTGGAAATCACGTTATTTTTTTTTTTGAAAATGCGAACAATTGTCGTTATTATTACGTTATTATTATTAAAAGATGTTAGAAATTATACACGCTTTTTTATCGATTAAAATCGTGCAAGAAGACAATCCAAAATTTCTTTCAACAATCTACTACAAATCGTTAAAAATCCCAGAAGAAGAAGAACTAACAATCCCAAGGCGTGTAGGACGAAAACGAAAAGACAAAAAGTATCCTCTTAACTCGTGAAAATAACTTTCGATTCGTTAAAAATGGTCGAAAAGTGTGCGCTTCGAAGGAATAGAATTTTCAAATTCGACAAATCGTTGATGGGACATTACAAGGTTGATTTTATATTCGATGTAATCGCGGAAAGAACAATTAATAATCCCACGATTTCTTAACAATGGCTACGATCGATTGATTCTCTCCACTGCGGCCGTATATGATCGACTCGTACCACTGGCTCTACTCGATCGAGGGTAAAATCTTGCCGATAAAAAGATGTTAGAAATTGTACACGCTTTTTTATCGATTAAAATCGTGCAAGAAGACAATCCAAAATTTCTTTCAACAATCTACTACAAATCGTTAAAAATCCCAGAAGAAGAAGAACTAACAATCCCAAGGCGTGTAGGACGAAAACGAAAAGACAAAAAGTATCCTCTTAACTCGTGCCGGCTCGAATTCTTTCTCCAATAATACATTCTCTCTCGGGACCAACGATATCTCGTCTCGTTCCCCGTGACGTATATCGAACGTCTTCGAAGTCGATCGCGTGACACGCGAACGGAATGGAATGAAATGGCGGACCGTTTGGACCGATGTATACGGGTGTGGGGGGGAATTATCGTTGAAAGTTTTCGATAATCGGGGCACACCGAGAGAAAGAGAGAGGGGGGAAGGGTTGAATGACAACGCGGGGCGCGGAGAATAATAACGCGGCCGGCAAAATGGGGCGTGGCATCCGGCAATACGGCATCCTGATTTACGCCGTGAGCAAACAGCCGCGCAGCACTGTGCACCTCGGTTATTGTCGGCTCTATAATTTGGGGTTAATTCACTAGGCGGCACTCGAGTTCAGGCGTCAAACCGCAGATCGATAGTACCTGGCCGCGTACAGCTCTTGTCATGTAAATGTTGCGTGCATAATACCCCGCCTTGCGGCGAGCCAGGATCATTTCCACGGAACGTGTGCGCCCCAACCTCCCTCCGCGTGTGCGTGACCCACACCCACACCCACACCCACACCCACCTGAACCAGGTGCAACGCGCCAATATTCACCCGCCAGCCGAGCTACCTGCTCGTTAGCTGACCCCGCGCCAATTTCGTACCATCCCTTGTTGCTCCCTGCAACTTTGAGAGATTCGGATGGATCCGTGCGGAGGGACTCGGGGGAGGGGGAGGTTATCATCATCGTGATACGTCGAGTGTGTACCTATGCTAAAGTTTCCGAGTTGAACGTTAGAAGGGTTAACCTGGGGAGGGAAGGGGGAGATTGAGATATATGCGTGTGATGTGTGCGTATATGTATACGTATATCCGAAGGGTGCGCGTAGAATAGAATTTGTCCAAGTTATTGTCGAAGGTAGAATCGAAGATCCATATGTTTTGAGCCAGTAAGGGGATGACGATATTAGAAATTGCTGTCTAATTCGCGAATACGGTAGTAGCAAGCTTCCAATTTTCGCCCCGCGATCAAATCCCCTTGAATAATTTGCATGCATTTAGCTGCTTTACACCGTGTACTACCCCCCCCCCTTCCTCTCCCGTCCAACATCCCCAACGTTGAATCATTTCGAAATCTCTCGATTCTATACATCCTGGGTAAATTCCGCAACGATCGATTCACCAGATGAAATTGAAACACGCTGGTCCGGTGTAAATGTTGCTAGATATGTTATTTAGTTTTCCACCGCGAGCGATCCACCCGAGCGGGGAAGGGGGAGGGAGGATAGGATCGCGTAACCCCTCGTCGAATTACGATTTTCCTCCCTCGCGCGGGAAAAGGGGGAGGAAAAAAAAAAAATATCGCGATTTTGCATCGAAATGATCAAATGAACGAACCCGGAACGAAATAACCCAACTGAATTATACGCCGACATATTTTTCCTTTCTCTCTTTTTTTTTTTTTTTATGAATTTTTTTTTATGGTTTTTTTTTATCTTTATTTTTTCTCTCTCTCTCTTTTTAATTGCAAGCTCGATGAGCGTACGTTCGAAGGTAACGGATTATCTCTAAAAGAGAGGGAAAAAAAGAAAGTCACGCGCAAGAAAATTATATTCCACGTTTTCGCTCACCTTTCGACCCGCTTTAACGCCCATTACCGGCGCGGCGTCGTCGTCGTCGTCGTCGTCGTTTGCATAATTATAAAAACTGCTCGTCGACGACGTTCCGCCGTCACGACGATCGAGAAGCGTTTAAAACTTTAATGGTTCGCTCTTCAGACGCGGCGCCGCAGCTTCTGTACAAATTCATCGAACAAACCATCCAGCCTGGCCCTTCGGTGTCGCTCAAGTGCATCGCCACCGGGAACCCGACGCCGCACTTCTCCTGGACCCTGGACGGTTTCCCTCTTCCTCAGAACGACAGGTAAACGATAACATCGTCTCTCGTTTCGGAAGATTATAGCATCGAAGGAGGAATCGAAGGAGGAATCGAAGGAGGAATCGAAGGAGGAACGGTTCTGTTTCGTTGGGAAGAAGAAACGATCATCTTTTTCTTCTTCTTCTTCTTTCCTTCAAAGAGGTTAAAAATCGATGGATAGTGTGTACACAATTATTTTCGGTTATTAAACCGCGGCTGTTACGGTCGACGGGAAATCAGACCGGCTTCCACGTTATAACGCCAGATCCCGTGGGAACCGATACCTCCCTGCGGGCTTCGATTCTCTGAACCAATTGAGAGGAAAATTACCAATCAACCGGCCTCTAGTCTAAACTTTTTAGAGTCGCTCGATTTAGAATGATAGATTTGACGGGATCGCGACCACGCTATTAATAATGTATGTATAATAACACGGCTCTCTGTTTTCTTTTCTTTTCGCCGCTTGATTTACGATGTCGAGCGGGGCTTGGATGCGAACGAGTCGATAATGACTTCGTTCCACCGATTTTTCGATCGTTTTGGCGCGCTTTGCTTTTCCATTTTCCGCGACTCGTTGAACCCGAGTAGTAAAATGCGCGTGTTCCTTGACGATTCTATCCATTCTCTCCGTATCCGATCGTCCGAATTTTATTACAAAATTATTCAAACACCTCTCTTACCCTTGGAAAAAAAAGAAGAAGAAGGAAAAAATAATCTTCATCTATTTTCAAATATAATTACGAGGAAAATTAGATCAAACTGCGTCGTCAACACGCGAGCCGAAAATTGGTGGTTTAAATTCCTTTTTCCTTCTCTCTTTCTCTCTCTTTCTGTCTCTCTATTCAACAACACGCAAGCGTAACATTTACATAAGCCCCCGCAAATGTGTGTCGGTTGGTCGCAGGTTTATGATTGGGCAGTATGTGACGGTGCACGGGGACGTGATATCGCACGTGAACATCAGCGTGGTGCACGTGGAGGACGGAGGGGAGTACCGGTGCACAGCGGCGAACCGGATGGCGAAGGTACACCATTCGGCTCGTCTCAACATTTACGGCCTGCCCCACGTACGCCCGATGGGGAACTACGCCGCTGTGGCCGGCGAGACCACCGTCATCAAATGTCCGGTCGCTGGTTTCCCAATAGCGAGCATCACTTGGGAGAAAGGTCAGTGTCCTCGTTTCCGCGTGAATGTTTTAACGGGCCCGATGGTTAAACGGTGTAACGTTGATTTTTAAATTCGTCCGTTTACTCGATGCAACCGAGTCGAGCCGTGTCTTTTTTGCGGAAATATTTTTTTTTTTTTTTTTTTTTTAATATTCGAAAGTGATATTTTTCAATTCTCGATTTACGGATCCGGTAACAACAATATTAACTCGTTGATCTTGATAACGTTGGAAAGTTTTGAATTTGTAAAAAAAAAAAAAAAGTTTCAGCGAAACTTTATCCCTTCCGATTGACGATTGTTGGAATTGTTTTATTGTTTTATCAGTTATCGCTTCTCGAGAGAAAGAGAAACGATTTTGATTATATAAATTTTATATAATACGAAAAAAATGAGGAAACTAACGTAATAACGGACAAATGTAGCGTTGATTATTCTTTTTCAACGTTATCTTCTGTTGAATGCGACAAAATTTCGGGAGAATTAATAAGCAACGTTCGTCACGAGAGAAGAACGCGCACCCATCTGTCACGTATATAACGAATGTGTTAAATACAATTTACAAATATAATTTTCGGTTATTATTTTATCTGACGTTGGAAATTGCTGATATTATTAAACAAAAAAAAAAAAAAAAACGAGGAGACACGATTCCGAACAACTCTTCGTCTCATATATTCCCATATCCCTCTAAATTTAATTTTAATTTCAGATTGATTTTACAAAAAAAAAAAATAATTTTTTTTCTCTCCATCATTTTCACGCTCGCGTAACTCGGAGAGATCGAAATTACTCGTCTTAAACTTTTCCATCGTGGTTACTATTTCGCCAAGTTACACTATTTCGACTTCCCCGTGTTTCCGTGGCGCGGAAAATAAAGATTAAAGCGGGAATTGAAATGTTCGCGACGCATAAAGAGCCCGTAAATAAGTTACCGTCCGCGTCCAGCGTTCTCCCGTAAATCTGGCCTGCGAAGGAGACGAATGAAATTTCAGAGAAACTGAAAGTACCGTCGGTTTTTCGAGCGTCGGTTTAAATGAACTTTTTGCCGGTATCCCAGGGGCGGGAAAGAGGCGGCGCGCCGGTGGGAAAGAAGGAGTGACGGGAACGAACGGGAGGGAAGGAGAGTTTTATACCGTAGGAAACTCTAGGATTCCCCGTTCGAGCGGCCAAGTTCGAGCGTTTCTTTTCCGGTAATGATGAACCTCAACTCCTAGCAAAAGTTTCAAACGTTCCCTCCCGGATAACTTTCTCCCTTTTACGCCCGATCTAGCGTGACGTCGCGCGCGCAATACATCCCCAATAACATTTTCAAAGTCGTTCCGACCACCGCTCTGGGAATAAAAAAAGAACCGTATCGAAGACTAGATCCCTTCGTATGCAGATATTCCTGGATTTAAGCTAACCTCAACGCGATACTCGAAATTGGTCGTTCAACGTTTATTCTCTTAGCTACGTATACGAGTTACTTGTAAATTGCAGCAAGACGAGATATTTCTGAAAATCGAACGCGCTTCGACAAGGAATAACAATAACGTGGATAGCGTGCGTTCGCGTTTCCTGTTTCCATCCGTTTCGCAGCGCGCCGTTTCCGTCCCGAGACGCGGAATCGGTTCTCTCGGTCGAAAATTGGAGCGTTGAGAGAAGTTGAGTTTTCTTGCTACCTGCAGACGGGAAGGTGTTACCGACGAGTCGACGTCAGGAAGTGTTCCCGAACGGTACGCTGGTGCTGCATCACGTCGACAGAAGCACCGATCACGGTGCGTACACGTGCACGGCGAAGAACAAGCAAGGTCGCTCCGACTCCCAGACGGTCCACATCGAAGTGAAAGGTAAAGTTTCTTTCCCTATTCTTCTTCTTCTTCTTCTTCTTCTTCTTCTTCTTTTCTTAAAGAAAAAAAAGAAAAAGTTTACTACTCCATCCCGATGATTCCATCCGCTTGAATTCGAAATAACAACGTTGCACGCGCGCGCGCCGTGTCGTGTCTCGCGAAGCTGATCTGCGTCAGGATCTCATCTCGACGCAAAGGATGATGACGACCGCCGTCTCGTAATCGCCAACTCGTGCGAAACGCAACGATGTTTTCGTGGGAATAAATCGTTCGTCGAGGAAGAAGAGAGTGGTTATAATTGTGGACGTTTCCTCTTGTTCAAAGTAATAATTTGAACGAAATTTTTATACGTATTTGTAGAGTGTAATTCTTCATTTTACGCGTATGCGAAAAATTGTACATCGGTAAGAAAAAAAAGGAAAAGGAACTCGACTTTCGATTTCTGATAAGTTCCATTTGTTAATTCTAGTATATAATGAAGTATTCGGATATTTTTGAAAATACGTATATTCGTATTGTATCGAGTCTCGTTTTACATTCCGACCGATTTTTATCTTGCACGAAATTTCAAAAGTTTCGATCGCGATGTATACGTAAATTAAAATTGCCGTCTGCAGCATCGAAGGAAATTCTATCCGGCTCGTTTTTTCCTATCACGAGTGATAACCTATCGTTTTACAAATATAGAATATATATTTTTCGTTTGATGTTATATTGCAGCATATGAATAATTCGTTTGGAATTATCGGGGCGTTGTGCACGTTGTTGGTTCCAATTAAAGCAAAAATAACGATGTTAATGGTAAAATTGCTTAATCAATTTATTCGTATCCAGCTGTAGCAACGAATGTATCGATAATATTGTCGTGTCTTTTTTTTTTTTTTTTTTTTCTTTTTTGGATTAATAACGGTTTCAGATCGACGATTTTTCCGCAGCGATCACGTTGACCCGTTTTCACAGGTTCAGGACACGCGTGGAACGTGTCGTGAATTTTTACAGAGATAAAAAGAAAAGGGACTGTGTGGAACCGCCTCTAGATACATTCGTATAATCAGTCTCAGTTCGGATGATATCGTTCGAGAGCCGAGAGGATGATAATATATGTTGACGAAAAGAACGATCGTTTCACCCAGAGGAACGGAACGAATCGAAAAACGCGTTGTTCGCGTCGAATCGTGAAAAGAAAGGAGGTACGATCGAAAAAAAACTACGCGTCGAGGAGGCGTCGAACGAATAATGATCTATTCGTTCACCTCTTTTGTCTCCTTTCAATCGTGTTCTTCGCGTTTACGATCTTTTTTTTTTTTAAGAGGAAAAAGAAAAAAAAGAAAAGAATTGAAAAAGGAAAAATAAAAAGAAAAAACAGAAAATTCTTCCTCTTCTAGTAGTTCCCCTTCGCATCGTTAGAACCTATCTCACGGCGAAATTGAAAATAAAAAAGTATATATATATATATACGCGTATATAAAGAAGAACAGATCGAGAAAATGATTCGTTGCGGGCTGTGTGTTGAAGTAAAAAATGTGTCGTGATCTCCTGTAATTTTCAGTACCGCCTAAAATCGATCCGTTTAGCTTTCCTGCCAATATACAAGAAGGCGCGCGGGTGCACGTGGTCTGTGTGGTCAGCGAGGGCGATTCACCGTTGAAGATCACCTGGCTGAAGGATGGCAGGCCATTGAATTCCACGGAGACGACCACCCATCATATCGGCGAATACGATCTCACGTTGATGATACAGAGCGCGACCACGGCCCATAATGGCAACTATACGTGCGTCGCGAGCAACGATGCCGCCGAAACGTCTCGCACGGCATCCCTGTTGGTCCACGGTACGCTGGAACGGGCACGGAAATCGATTCTCCTCGATCCGACGACATTTTCTCCCTCCTTTCTTCTTCTTTCTCTTCTTCTCTTTTGCTCCCTTAATCGCGCGAAATTTTCACACGTTTCAAACGCCTCTCTCGAGTATGAAATGATTACGGTGACACGATCGAGATTCGAGTCTCTGTTTCCTGCGCGTGAACGATGGTTAATTAAAGTCTGTTTCGATTAACATTTACGATACAAAAAAAACAATATATATATATTTACCAATATATTGGTAAATATATTCATAAGTTAGGTCACCGTGATCACGGGAAGAGGTATATTCGGACGAGTACAATATCATCGGTGATTGAAAAGTTCACGGGTGACGCGGCCTGCGAAGCGCGGCGAAGCGTTTTCCGCTCGTCAATCGACAACTTTTCACCAGCCGCGCGAACCATTCACCAAAACTCTCTCTACCCCTCTCTCTACGAATCTCCCCCTCCTTTTTTTCTCTCTCTCTCTCTCTCTCTTTCACACATCTCTATCTCTACACGGTCACCAATTTCAGCCACGATCGTCTCTTATTTCCAAACCTAACCCCCCTCCCCTCAATTCCGACAACTCGGTTAGGAAATTTTCGTTCGGTTCACGGCCTGTCTTCCATTTAAAACGGGCAACGAACAGGCCGACGTATGATTTCACGCTCTATTTTCCTTCGTTTTCTCTTCGAGCCCGCGCTTTTTTCGCGACCTCTCCGCTCTATTTACCCATCTCTCTCTCTTTGTCGCTCGCCCTTCCCTTCTCCTCCCTCCTCCCCGAACAGCCAGGATATATTCCACGATCGCCGTTGACGAGGGATAGCGGAATGGCCGTGAAACAGCCGTGAGAAAAAACGAAGGAGAAAAAGGCGCGTCGTCGATATTAATCGTCACGCGGCACTCGACGAGCGGCAGAACCTCTCGACCGGTTGGAAACTCCCGATGTGTAAAGCACGCAAGATCAATCGTTGCCACTCTTCGTCCTCCGGGCGAGGATTCTGCCTCCCTTTTTTTTTTTTGCCCTCTCCTCTTTTTCTTTCCATTCTCTCTCTTTCTCTCTCTCTTTCTCTTTCTCTCCCTCTCCTCGTCGCTGCTCTTTTCACGCTCGTTCGCGTAACACACGCGGGCGAGCGAGCGAGCGAGCGAGCGAGTCCCTCGAACTTTTTTTCTCTCGTTTTCGTCGTCTGTCGACGGGCGTGATGGGGTAGTCGGCATTAAAATCCGCTACCACCACCACCATCATCGTCCTTGGAATTCTCTCCAGACGAACGAATCAGTGGAAGCGGAACGAACGAAACTGTTGGCCGACGTACGAAACGAACGGCCTAAGGGTGATTTTAACGCGTCCTGCAATCACGAGCCGAAACAGCACTCCTCGTACTGCTGTATGCGTATTCCTGTGCGTGCACCGATTGTCGCGGTAAATCAACGTACGATCTTTTACTCTCTCTTTCTCTCTCTCTTTCCTTCTTTTCTTTCTATTTCCTTTTTTTTTTTTTTGGTAAGATGTATTAAGAGTCTGGATGTCCGTGACTCTACACGACAATATAGTTGCACACATGTATGGTTGCAATCTTTTTCATGCTAATACTCGAAACGAAATGGAAGATAAAAAGTTTGCAGTTTTATTTCAAGTAAAAAATCGTATCATCGGTGTTACACGAGCGTTTGTACGCACACGTGTTTTCGTATCAAATCTGACTAAATCCTTTTCCCAAAGAATGGCATCGATATCTCGATTCCTAGCGAAACATCGAAACAACGTCCTCAAACACGTGACACAGCTTACACCCCGAACAATTCGAACAATTTTTCGAGAGAGGAAAAATGGACGAGGAATAATTCTCGTTTCGTTTTGTTTTCTTTTCTTTTCCTTTATTTTTTTTTTTTTTTTTCAAACTATTAAAACGCGTATAAAGTATCACAAAATCGTCGATCTGTTACAATTCGGGACAATCGTTGTCCGTGTTTATCGTCAAACATACATAAATTCGTTTTGTTTGTTCGTTTATCGAACTGTCGCGTTTCTCGGTTGATATTCACATACATACTATATACACATATATGTACATATATATACACACAGGATCGAGTATAGAAAACGTGGATCGGTGGTGTACGCGTCGTGCACCTGCATACCACAGGCCGGTGGCAACTCTTTGGGCATTACTCATGTAACATTGCGCTATCTGCCGCCAACCCCGACTACGGTTTCTCAATTATTCTCAAACAACCGCCACGTTCTGTTCTAATACCTCGAGGGCACTGAATATCCCGGCTCCGCGAGTGTATCCTTCCCTCTCTCTCTCTCTATCTCTATCTCTATCTCTCCCTCTCTGGCGGAGCCCAACAAGGCGAGTTATTATTGTCGTTCTGCGGCATTACGTCCGATTTTCCAGTCGAGACCAGACCTGCCGGCTGGAGCAGTCGTGTGTCGGCAAAATATTCGAGAAACGAAATAATTTCGGTTGGTACAATGCCCCGGTCCCGCTGATTCGAGGGAACATCGGGCGAAGAAATCTGATAACGAGAGAGAGAGAGAGAGAGAGAGAGGGAGGGAGGGAGGAGGATTTTCAGAGATATAAATCAGCTTTCGACGAGGGTTTTAGAGTTGCGTGGGAAATGAGGAATAAAGGAGAATCGTGGGACGATCCCCGGCCCTTTTAATAACTTCGATTATAACGTATATAGTTCGGCTTCATTTCGTTAACGGGCCGCTATCGATTGGCGCTTCGAAACGCCCCCTGTGACTTCGTCAATGTTAATACGATCCTATACCTAGCTGTACATACGCGTAATGACGCGCAGCCGAGTTGATAAGCAGCGTTGATGTTATCGCATTACGCTGGCCCGGCATCTATTAAGGGTTCCGTAATGCGGAAACTACGCTTTCGTGATGTTGGATTCGTATCAAGGAAAGATAGATTCGTCCGCTTTAATAATTAAATGGACGAGAGATGTAATCCTTCAAAGGACGTCGGTTTGTACATATATAACCGAGATGTCGACATTCGAAACTACGCGTGTGAAATCCCCTCTTTCTCTTTCTCTCTCTCTCTCTCTCTCTATTTGTCCGACGTTTGATTAACGGTATTCAAAATCATATTACGAACGAACGAAGCTCGATAATGAGAGAAGGATTCGATGAACGAATAGATTCCTTTCTCTCTCTCTCTCTCTCTCTCTCTCTCTCTCTGTCGGAGATAAAATTTGATATCGAAGAGCCGAAGAGGCGAATTTCGAGGCGCAGCTAGCAGCGAAGGGGGTATGACGTTTTTCCCCAAAAAAGATAGAGGAAAAAGAAAAGAAAAAAAGAAATAGGGAAGCTTTCAAAGTTTCGAGCATGATCGATCCCCAACGATGACCAACAACGCCGATGCGAAAAAAAACCGACTACTCGCGAAAATCGACGCGAAAAACAATTCCGCCTGGGCGGAAAGTTGGGATCGACGTTCTCGCATCTCCATCAATCGTGATACATAATCTCGGGAGAGCGGGTTGGAAGCACGCGTACGCTAAACATTTTCGAGGCGACTAAACGCGCATCGATCATTCAACGGAGGAAAGCGTGCAGTGGAACGGAAAGCAAACACGATGGGCCGAAAGCCCATGGAAAAGCAAAGGCAGATGTACGATCGTATCCATTGGGATCGCACGCGGAAATGGCATGGGCCACGTACCATGGGCCGCCATCTAACATCCCCGCCCCGCCCCGTATCTTTGAATCTATTTCTTTTCTTTCTTTTTTGTGCAGTTCCACCCACGATAGCTCCCTTTAGCTTTAACAAGGATCTGTCGGAGGGCGTGCGCGCTCAGGTAACTTGCATGGTCGAGAAGGGCGATCCTCCGTTCACGATCGCCTGGTCCAAGGACGGCGAGGCGATCGCCGGCCCGAGTCCAGCTGCTGCAGGCTTCGGGAACACCGGGATAACCGGTCCCAGACACACGCAGACACCCGCCGGGCTGCGCGTAACCAACATTGACGCCCATTCCAGTACCATAGTTATCGAGCGCGTGAGCGCAGCGCACTCGGGCAACTATACTTGCATGGCGCGCAATTCGGTGGCCGAGGTCCTATGGACGGCCGAGTTGATCGTTCGTGGTAAAGTAGAACCGATAATCAGGATAATCAAAAACCACACTTGCAAGGAACGACGAGATCGCACTGTAATATGTATTTCTTCAATGCCATTCACTTCACCGTCTCTCACCTTATGTTTTTTTTCTTCCTTTTTTGCACCACTGCCAACGCACCATCTTATTATATATATATATATATCTTNTATATATATATATCTTGCCGAATATTTTCTTCTTGCATTGGCTGGCCTCGATGATGGAACGTTCGATGGCTTCCTTCAGGGTGAAGAAAAATTTTTGATTTTGTCTTGTGTCTCGATACCGAGATACATTTTGAACTTTTCTTTGTTACCTTTAATTTCGAGATGTATATAATCTATTGATGCATTTTTTATTTCCAAAGATTTTTATCGCATTTTCATTCTTCGAAAATATTATTTTCACATTGTTCCAAGTTTCAAGTGTTTTTTCAAGTATTATCTTCTCGAAGCAATCGAACGTTTCCACGAACCAGTCTCCGTACGTATCTACGTTTTATTACGTTATTATTGTTATCGTTGGTATTGTGTGATCACGTATAAATGCAGCCGCAGCAGCCGCAGCAGCCATCGCAATCGCGAGTAATTCAAACGAACACGCGTGACAAATGAGTGAGCTAGGGCTGCTCAATAGTGTTACCTTTGCTCTCGATTATTGCTCTCGTCGAAGATAAAATTATCGAAATTTTGGCTCGCGAGATGGGATCGATCTTCCAACTCTTCGTCATTGAAAGAACGCCGTTTCGTTTCCATGCATTATCATTATCGAAACGTTCGAAAACCGTATATATACCGGGTGGGTAGAAAAAATGAAAACGACAACATCGCGATTAAACTTTTGTCTCTGTACGCTTCGATGATAGCCGCGCTGAATGGATTGAACGAAAAAGAAAAGAAAAAAAAAAAAAGAGAAACAGCTTTGGACCCGGTAATCAGGACGATCGTAAAACGAAAACGCAACAACAGCAGCAGCAGCAGCAGCCGCAGTAGCAATCGCCCAGCCAGCAACGCGACGCACCAACGCACTTGAGCACCGCACAATATGATAGCGTTATCACCCACGGCGTATCACATCGTACTTTGTCTAGTTGTCTATCTCTCACAAACGCACCATCTGTGAAACCGCACTGATTCCCGATCTTCGAGCTCGACGAGATACCGCGATCCCGAATACGTACACTTGCGCGCTTTCTACTACTCTTTTTTTTCTCTCTTTCTCTGTGCGTCTACCTCTCCTTCCGAGAAAAACGAGTGTACGAGTCTTGATTCCCCTGTAACTTGATATCCTGTATAGATCCTCGTCGAACGATCAAGAGGTAAATAAGGGGGGAAAAGTTGAACTCGAGTGGCAAAGAAATACATCTTGGATGTTCGACGACACGGAAACAGCGATCGCGGTACTCTCCGGGAAGGAAAGGGATTCTGCATGAAAGGGCACCAGCCACTTTTGCGAAATTCGGCTTCGAGCGTAGCACCACTTCATCTTGAATTTGTGTGTTCACGAGTACCAGCCAGCAGCCTCGAACTTAACAATTTTTTGAGAACGAGAACGTATCTCGTTCACTTTTGATCAGCACACGCATATATGCACCGACACTCTTCTTTTCTATTTTCTTGTTTTTCTTTTTTTTTTTTTTTTTTTCCACACTTCTCTTCCGTTTCCACGCCTTTCCGTTTACCGAACCTTTATTCGTTATTTCGCTCGGCCATATTATGGAAGCACTCGAGGAGCACCAATTCCACGAAAAAAACGCGACACCAACCTCGTTGTGTTCTCCCTTGCCGAAAACAACTCCTCGTTTTTCCGAGGCCGTTTAATCGACCAGGTATAAATTCTATACGTTTCGATTACGTTAATTACGTTGATATTACGTGGCGAATAATTGATTAGTGTGAAAATGAACTCGAACGGGATGGGTTTTATATATATAATCGAGAAACGTTCGTGTTTTTCGCAAATTTTTCCGGAGGAGGAAAACGATGAGGAATGGGGAATACGTGGTGCGGAGTCAGCTATTATTCGCCATGTAATAATACGGCCCTTTGTATTGGGCTATTCGGGCATCGAAAATAATTGACCGGCACAAATATTTGAACAACGCACAAATGGCCTCGAATCCATCCCACGTGTGTATGTTCGCAAATGCACAATCACCGCATTGTTCTTGAGTCAGAATGCCCGCACAGCACTGACTTCTGCATTGCTCTCTCTCTCTCTCTCTCTCTCTCTCTCTCTCATCTATGATCCATCTAACAATGTTCACCTCTTATTTACACCTGTTCTGTTCACCAGGAAAATTGTCGATTATCGCACTTGTTCTTGTACTCTTCAAACTCTCCTCTCTTTCGCGATTATTGCGTCCACCCCTTCAAACTCTTCCTTTCCGTTCCTGTATTTTTGCCTGTTATTATTTTATATAAATATATATAACGATCGATCGAGGGAGAAAATTTACACGAGGGACGATCGATAAAATCCAACGGTGAGTAGAAAATAATGGAAACCACGATGCGTGTATTTTTTCCTTCCCTCGGTCGACCGCGCGCGCGCACCCCTCAAAATTACGTCTTTTGTTTCACTTTGCGCTGAAGTAGGAAGTTGCAGTAGGCCAATTCGAGAAGTTCGCTCTTGCCTCGGCGCAATAAGCTTAGACGAACGAACGTAGTGGCATCTGAAATATCCTTCCCTATTCTCTCTCTCTCTCTCTCTCTTTCTCTCGCAAAAAAACAAAAAGGAAAAAAAGAAAGAAAAACGGACGAGAAGGAAACTATATATGTATATATATCCGTGAAAACATTTCTCTTTACCCTCGTTACTTCCCTCGTTTGCGAGTGATCGACGAATTCGAGACGCGCGTTTTCCGTTCGAAATAACCACCGTCCCTCCATCCTCCCCCTGAAACGCAACGAACTAACAAGGCCGACCGCGATAATTGCTGCAAAAAACGAGGGAAAAGGGAAAAGAGAGAAAGAGAGACGCCAGCCACCGTCGGTTAAAGGGAGATCGTGAGTTAAAAGTGGACGAGATCTGCAAGTAAAATGCAGAGGAAAGGGAGGGAGGGTGAATGAAATTTCAGATGGCGCACGGGCGGTCGTCGACGGTGCGCGAAACTTGGTCGCAAAAGAGGAGGCTAACTAACCACCGTTGTGTGTGTGCGTATGTGTGATGCCGCGAAACAGTGCCACCCCGTTGGGTGATGGAGCCCCAAGATGTCCGTGCCTCCGAGGGGATGTCGCGGCTGGTGCTCCACTGCCACGCGGACGGATTTCCGCCCCCGGCGGTCTCGTGGCGGCGGGCTAGCGGCAAGAAGCCTGGAAATTATCGCGACATCGTGACGCACGAGCACGCCCAGAATCTCAGGATACACTCGAACGGGTCCCTGGTCTTTGGACGGGTGCAGGAGGACCACGAGGGATTTTACTTGTGCGAGGCTGTGAACGGAATCGGGGCCGGCCTCAGCAAAGTCGTGCATCTTACGGTGAATGGTAAGATAATTGTTGCGCAAGGAAAATTCGAACGATGTGTATTAATTGTGGACAAAGTTCACTTTCAAATGTATGCAAAATAATTGTTTGGATGAATAACAATTTTTACACGGATTAAGCAAAATATAGGGGGGCAGACGAGTAATCGATAATTGTCACGTTTCAATTCACGTTGAGAAATATTCTGTAAATTAAGAATAAATTTTAATTTTATAACATTTATTTTAATTTAAATCATTATAAATTATCGATAAGTTTTTCGTTCTTTTTTTTGAAAATTAAAGTTAAAGTTAAGTTTAATTACTATATTGTATTAGAAATTCACACAATGATTTTTTTATATGTTCCACATCGTTCCAATAAAAGTCGAATATATGAAAAGTAGGAACTTTCTATTTTTTTTTTTTTATTTGATTTGCAAAACTATATTAAAATTAATTTTAATGTTTAAGCCGTCCATGATGTATACGGGCACAATCAAACAGATTTTTTAATCTAACCACAGATATTTATTATTTATGGATTAATTTTAAGTTATAATATATGCATTTCTATCATTGTTTATTTATTATATTAAAAAATAAGCAATAATAATATTCCTAACTTTAATTGGCAATTTTTTTTATTCCTTTCGATCTTTGAGAGGCCAGTATACACTATCTTCTTTCTAATGCTTTTTTCAATTTATAATTTTCAATTTCGTTGTTTTTATTTTCATTTTGTTAAATTATGTTTATGCCCAATAATTATCTATCAGATAATTTATAGGATTGTCGAGGATATCCTGTAGCAAAATAACCATAACTTCTTTTTTTAATACTTAACATTTTTGTAACATCTGTTTCTTTAGAATACCATTTCCAATTCACAAGATTTCAATTTATTGTACGTTTGTCAAATTCGTAGCTTTCTAAATTAATTGCTTGCTACAATGTTTTTTCTATATATGCCACGCAAATTTTTTATTTATTAAAGATTCAAATCACAAATATTTATATATTTAATCATATACATTCTTAGTGAAATAATAAATTACAATAAAAAATTAAATCTCCGTATAAGCGGAAAAAAAATAATTTTGTCCAGTTATCTCTCTTTATTATTCATCGTCCCTCTCTAATTTATCGTTGCGTTCAAAATCATTTTGAAAATTGAATTTCGAAGAAAGCCCGGATTTAATTTTTCTTTCTGTGTACAATGATTTATGTCGATTCTTATCATCATCATTATGATCATTATTAACGACACACAACAAACGCACGCAGTACCCGCCCATTTCGCGGAGAAACACCGTAACCAAACGGCGAGGCTAGGCTCGAGCGCGTCCCTCCGTTGCGAGGCGAAGGGTGATCATCCCTTGAAGATACTTTGGAAGAAGATGGGCGCACACCTGGAGCAGAAACTTTCCGACTATCGGTACACGCTTAAGGAGGAGAACACGACCGACGGCATCATCAGCACGCTCGAGTTTATAAGCACTAGTCGAGAGGACAGCGCGAGATACTTCTGCATAGCCTCGAACGCTTATGGCCGCGACGAAATGACGATCCACCTGTATATACAAGGTAAGAAGATAGATGATTCCGGATGCCCGGAAATCGTATTTCCTTCGCGATGACGCGAGGGAAACGAGAGACAATCGGCCTGGAATTCTCCTCCTTGCGGAACGGAATTATTAATGACGGTGTGAGTCGCGTAATGAGTCGAGAGGAAATCGGAGGAGGAAAAAAAAAAAAAAGAAATAAGAGGAAATCCGTTTCTCGGGGATTTAAAGACCGTTTTTCACGTGCACGATAATCCACGGTAACGACGTTATCGGCTATAACGCATCGACTCGTTGCGACGAAACAATTTCAATAATGTTTCCTGGTTCTTGGTATCTGCGTATAATCTGCTGTCGCGCAATTATCGTAATGTATACCGCCGCGTTTCACGACTCGTCCATTTAATTTAATGCGTTTTTTTTTCGCGCAAATGGCGTGCACGCGAGATAATCGAGCGTACACCAACCGAAAATAAAATATCCCTCGGATGCTTCTGCGTCACGTAACGTATCCGTATCTAGCGTTAACTCATCGGTTACTGCGCTAGAGACGCAATTTAACGAAAGGAAATTTTTTCTTTTTTTTTTTTTTTTTCCGTTCGTCGATCAAGAGCCGCCTGATTTCCCCCGGAACCTTCACGTGATCGAGAAAGGAAGTCGTTACATCAACATCAGCTGGACGACCAGCCAGGATGGCAACAGCCCCATCACCCAGTACATCATCGAGTACAAGACGGACACCGGTAATCGTTCGTGCATGCTTTCGTTCGTCATCGAATCGAATCTTGGGGAAGATTCGTATTCGAGAAAAAAAATGGAAGAGAATTTTTCCTTGATCGTAACCGCTCTACTACTAGCTAGATACTAGTAATAATCTAACACGCGATAATATAAGACGCGGATTGGTCCGCGGATCGATTCAACAGGTGTGCTTCGATCTCGCTCTTTCTTCTTCCTTTCTTTTTTTCTTTCTACCCGACGCAATTTATATTTTACAGAGGTGTGGCACGATCACACGTTTCACATGACGGTGCCGGGCAGCCAGGCTCACGCTCACGTGAGCGGTCTTCGTCCAGCCGTCTCCTATCAGTTCCGAATATACGCGGAGAACGAATTGGGTCGTAGTCAGGCGAGCGACGTGAGTATATCCAGGTTTAACGCGACCCCCCTTGCAGACATCTCCTCCTTTCCTCTCCGCATCCTCCCTACGCATCCGCCTCTCGAGAGCGGTTCGATTTGTACGAGGGATCGATATTCGAGCCTCAAAGCGACACACGCCACCTCGAATTGCAATTTTCTCCCTCGTTGAATTCCACCCTGTGCACCGCACGCGCGTGGTAATCGTCTCGCGCGTGATTAAGATTCCTGTCACGTATCGCTATCGCGAGTTGGACCGAGGGGGGAGGGGGAGGAACGAAATAAAAATTTAATAATTCGCCTAACGACGAATCACCCCCGACGAATCCTTCTTTCCCCCAGATCTTGGAAACGACGACGGAAGGGGAGAAGCCCGGCGGCCCGCCCAGAAATCTCAAGGTGGATCCCGTCACCTCCACCGAGTTCAACGTCACCTGGGACCCACCTGATCATGATTTATGGAACGGGGAGATACTCGGTTATCACATCGGATACAAGGAACATAGGTAACGATGGGAAGCGCCCTTTAACGACCACGCCGTTCACCTTACATCTCTCGAATACGTTCCGCTATATACCGTATCTCACTCGAGACCAACCTCTCGGATAACGCGCTCATGTTCTGTGCTTTGACCACCGCCACGGTTCCCCGTGATAAACAACCGACGCGGTTTTCTCCTTCGCGCGGTTTCGACGTTGAAATATTTTTGGAAAAATATCTCGTACCGCGCCGATACCTAAAAGCTAAAAGCAAATCCTTCGTTTATCGACGTTCCTTCGCGTTGCGTTCCATCCGTTTCGTTTCAACGCCGCTCGAGGCAGATTAAATATATTTCTATTTAAATTTGGGTTTTAAAAACAAGCAGAAAAGAGTCTGGTCGAATCGGCCACGGATTATTATTATAATATTCTGTTTAATCGACTCGATGTGTATATATATATATCTAGGTTGGGATCGGATCAGTACACGTATAGAACGGTGGAAAGGCGAATTTCCACGGCTAGCGTGGCCCTAGGCCTGGCTAGGATGTCTATGCCCGGCACGCAATACCAATTGACGAACTTGAAGAAGTTTACGAGGTACAGCGTAGTGGTGCAGGCGTACAACGTGCTCGGCCAAGGTCCCATGACACCGGAAGTGGTCGCCACCACCCTCGAGGACGGTAAGAAAGAGAGGCTTGAATTTTTTTTTCCTCCTCGAATATTGGATTTCCTTTCGATAAATCGTTCCCTATAAATCGAACGTGTTATATGGGGAATTAAGGAACGAAAAGAGAGGAAGAGAAAGGGGAGAGAGAGATTTAACGAATTCACGCCGTTCAAAAATTCATGAACGAAATAATACCGGAGGCTCTCGCGTCTATCGTCAGAAATTTCGCCATGAATACCAACCGTTCTATATCCGCTCGAGTTTCGAGATAAATAATAAATTCGGTAACCAGCTGTCTGGAACTGATCTGCTTGCAAATAAGTCGAGGCGACGCGAGAACGGTTAAACTCCAAACTACCTTCTCCCGCCACTATCAACTGCTTTTCCTGGCCGACGCCTTTTATGCACATTTTCTCGCGGCACTTCAACGGAAAACGGAATCGGTTTCGCAAATCTTTGGACGGATTTAAAAATAGTTGCTTAACCAAGGTGGGGTTGCTCTTTTTTTTTTTTTTTTCGCTCGTTTAAAATATTCAACCGAAAGTCAAATATTGGTCTTTGATCGCTCGAGGCGATTGGAAACCGCGTTATTTGCCTCGCGTTTTATCTTAAACGCAAATGTTTGGGAAAAAAAACATTACGAGATCGTGGATTAAATTCGCTCTTAGGAAATATGCTCCCTTGTTTTTTCGTTCGCGGATAAAAAAAATCGATGCAAAAGAACCGAAGAACCATCTGAAATATTTAATATTTCGTTTCCAAGCTATATCATTCCCCGAATCGTATCGATTTCCATCAACGTACGAAATTCCCCCGTCCCTGTATCCCTACGAGACCTCCATCTTGATCGATAGATTAACACTAATTGACCGGCAACGTCGTTGACGAACATTGTAAATTTCCTCCAGTGCCGAGCAGCCCGCCTCAAGACATCCGGTGTACAGCGTTGACCTCGCAATCTCTTCAAGTCTCGTGGGACGCGCCCCCCGACTCGAGTCTGAACGGTATCCTGAAGAGCTACAAGGTGATATGGGAGAACATGAACGCGTTGACCGAGTCCCCCAAGTCGGAGACGAAGATCACCAGTGCCTTGACCGTGGTGATCCACGGCCTCGAGAAGTACACGAATTACTCTGTCCAAGTGTTGGCCTCGACCAGGGCCGGGGACGGGATCGCGTCCTCGTCTTTGTACTGCGTCACCGAGGAGGATCTGCCCGAGGTGCCTGCAGGCGTGAAGGCCGTGGTCAGGTCGGCGACATCGATTATCGTGTCCTGGCAGCCTCCGCTCAGGAGCAACGGGAATATCACGTCTTACAACGTTCATATCCGGTGGGTAAGCCCGGAGGGAAAATGGTACAAGCGGTCGTTGCCTCCGCATCAGACCAGCTACCAGGTGGAGAGTTTGCACAAGAAAAATCAGTACGAGTTCAGCATAGCTGCGGTGACGTCGGTGGGCGAGGGGCCCCAGACGCAACTCGTCACGGTTTCGCTTTCCAGCGAAGGTGAGAAAAGAAAGAAAAGTATTCCATTTCCAATATATATCCAAGTCGTTTATGATTTCTATTATTTTTCCAATCGCGTAGAATTTGTGACCTTACTCGTTATAGCACGAATCGTATCTTTACGGGGATAAGTAGTTTTGGAAATTTTTGCCTAACTCTGGAATTTGAATTTCTCTCCCTTTGATCCACAGTCCGTGCGGCGATATATTCGTTCGGGACGGTATTGGTCGTCCCGTGGAAACAGAACGTGACGTTACCGTGTCAGAGCGTGGGGAACCCCGAGCCGTCGGTGACGTGGAAACAATGGGGACAGATAGTGAAATCGTCGAGCAGGGTGTCCTTCTTATTGGAGGGCTCGCTCCAGATCATGGATCTTCATAGGGAGGACAGCGGAAATTACACTTGCTACGTGAAGAATCGTCACGGATCCGATCAGATCACGCATCGTTTAACCGTGCAAGGTGAGACTTTCCTTTTCCTTTTCCTATAATGTTATATATTATCGAATGGAAAAAATTGGTTTCAAGAATTAACTTGGATGGAATAATTGGGTCGTGTTTTGCAGTTCCACCCGCAGCCCCGTTGCTCCACGCGACCAGCGCGACGAGTAATTCGATCAACGTCCAGTGGAAGAACAGGGACGACGGTGGCGCCCCAATCAGGGGTTATATCCTCCACTACAAACGGGAATCGGGGGAATGGGAGGAGATGAAGGTCTCCCACAAGATAAACAGTTTCGTGTTGTCGCGGCTGTGGTGCGGGAACGATTATCAAATGTATCTGACGGCGTACAATCGGATCGGTATGGGGTCGCCGAGCGAGATCGTGAAAGCGACGACGAACGGATCGAAGCCGGAGAACTCGCCCAGCAACGGTGATAAATTCGTCACTGTGAACGTGTCGTGGATCACTCTTCATCTGAGCATGTGGAACGACGGTGGATGTCCCATCACCCATTTCGAGCTCGAGTACAGGAAGAACGGCGAAGATATTTGGACCTTGGTGTCGAATAATATCGAGGTATCGACACGCCCAATTTATCTCGTGTTTCCGTTTCAACCGTTCGATCCGATTCGACCGACCGGCCAACCAAATATTCGTGACGGCAGCGAATATTTTGCGCCGATAAATTCATGGTATTATAGCGGACGTGGCAGTTTATACGTTCGGCTGCGCTAATGCGAAATATTTCTGCAAAGATTGCGAATTTGCGGCGAATTTCTTTTCTCCGGATTTATTTTTCCGAGCGTTCTTTTCTCTCTCTCTCTCTCTCTCTCTCTCTCTCTCTCTCTCTCTCTCTCTCTCTCTCTATCGCATTTACGAAAGTAATAAACATAGAGGCAACATTAAGAGACATTTGATTCTAAATAAATATTAGACGATTTCATTGAAATTTCCTCGATATAAACAATTCTGTTCGATTGTTCGCGTCGAAGAAAAGTGTTCGCGCGGAAGAAAGATGGATAGCAACGATATAAATTGTTACGCGATATACAAACGGGCAACAAACCGACCAGCGTTCTCTTTGTCCAGGTACAGAAAACGTACACGCTGAGCGAGTTGCAGCCCGGGACTACCTACGACATCCGAACGAGGGCGCACAATAACGCGGGTTTTTCGGTCGCGGAATACAGGATAACGACTCTGCAACCTCACGTCAGCAGCACCGTGCCATCCGTGGAGATCGATCAATACATCCCCCAGCACACGTCCGTCTACTCGGATCTAAAGCTGATCATCCCTCTGATATTGAGCTCGCTGGCGATCATCGCCGCCGCCGGTGCCGTGTTCTATTGTTTCCGTAAACGTTAGTAAAGCGTAGAGTAAATTGGACGTGAATACATTCGCACTTGTGATATCCGTAGGTATTCGTAGGTAACGTTTTGATGACAATGACCGTAGGTCCATTTATAGGGGAGATGGCGAGCCTTCACGATGCCCAGACTGCGGCCGCCTTAGACAATAAGCAGAATATGGAGCAGCGTGAACAGTATTACGCGACCGTGCGCAAACCGCTTCGCTCGCCTATACACGAGATGGGTACCTTGGAAAAAATTCCAGGTAATCCAGGGAGGGGAGAAACGCTTGTTAACGCTTAGCTTAATTATTAGCTGATTATAACTCTTTCTTTGTTTCGAGCAAGGTGTAAATTTTACTTGCGGCGATAAAAAAAAAACGACTTTCAGTGGTTCTCTTGTCTCGAACGTCGTTGTCGTTCGACCTTGATGGCTCGTTTTTTTTTTTTTTTNTTTTTTTTTTAGTAGCTGTTACGTAAGAAAATACGCGGAACGTTCTCGTCGAAAATTACTAAAAGCTATCCATCGATGCGATATCCATTGCGCGAATAGTTGAAAATTTGTACAAAGAAAAGAAAAGAAGAGAAAGCGTTGAAAAATGATTGCAGAATACTCGGAGGACATCTATCCGTACGCCACCTTCCAGCTAGAGGAGAGCGTACCACCAGGGGGTGATAGTCGATGTAATTCCGCGGCGCCTCTTCAGACCTTCGTCTATCACGATCCCCGTCTGTCCACAGCCGACACTCTTCAATTACGAGAGGTATCGTCCCACGTTCAGTTTGCTTTTGTCATTCACCATCGCTTTCCACCATTCGTCACCATTCGTGTCTGTTCACCGACCTAACTAGGAAAACACACTTGCGCACACCGCATGCATTCTCGAGTTCGTCCTTGTAACGCTCTTCACGTGTAATTGCTTCGGACAGAAGTTCGTATTTTTGCGTATATGTTCGATAAAAAACATCTTCACCTTTTACAAAGTTCTAAAAAAAAAAGAAAATTGTATCGATTGCAATAAATCGATAAAAAAAAAAATACGAACTTTTTACCACATTCCAAAGTGAAAACATCCTCCGAAACAAAGCTTCGCTTCCTCCTCGCTATCGTGACTATTTTATTATATTTATACCGAACGATCGAAAAATCGGATCGGTAAAGGAAGCAAAAGGGGATTAAAATCGCATTAATTTCGCTTGGAAGCATGTTGCGCGCTTTTTGCACAATCCTAATCATAATTTCGCGCGTGCGTATCGGTCTTGGCTATCGGGTATGTTGTTTAGCGCAGATTGTCTGGCACGAACGATTTGTTTGTACGATTTTCTTTTTTTTTTCCGCGAACAATTCGCGGGCTCAAAAAAAAAACACGGGCTCGTATAACGTATGTCGCTCGTAAACGTCGAAACAGTCATAATTCAGACGCAGAAACAATTTAAAAAAAAAAAAAAGAGAACATGTTTGTAGAGAAACGCGCGTGGATCGAGTAGAACAGATGTGCATCATAGAGGATCGATCATTGTGACTGCTGGTCCCACCTTGCTTCGTTTCGCATCTGTCCTGATCAGTCCATCGAGGAACCGCAACACCGATGCAACAATGATAATTTTTTTTTATATGTATTATATATATAAATTCGCCATATTCTACACATCTCTCGCCAACTCTTCTCATTTATTAGCTCATGTATAGTTGTAGAATAAGAATCGAAGCGATGTTCTGGTGTATGATATTACGTATCATCGATCATATATATATATAGATATATATATTTGGTCATAGAGAAGAGACAGTAGTGTGAATCGTGAACGAGATTCAAGAGATCAGAGTCATTTGATCTCTGACTCGATAAATATACCGCGATGCAAATGTCGATCTTACGCGTCACATATTACCGTCCATAAGTCACGAAAAAATTTTGACGAGAAGTATCAAGAAACAACTTACGTCAAACAATATTATTATAATTTAAAATTGGGAAATTGGCGTCTATCTGGTGGTGGGTGACTTACGAACGACAGTGTGTGCAACATTGTATATACGACACAAATGACAAATGGGATCCGACTCTGATCTAAAGATCTCTAATAGCTAGCAAACGATCTAACATCGAACACGCGATGAATTGACGCGTTTCGATTCGATTCGATTCGATTCGATTCGATACAAGGATATATCGGTGTAGCGCGTGTCCTCGTTCCCTCGTGCGATGATGTGCCAAAATTCATGGAAACAAATTCCGTGTGATTGCAGTCGGATTGCAACCGGTACACTAAGGTGCGCGGAGGCCGTTCGTCCTCTGCGCCGTTGCACAAAACGCACAAGGTCAGTCAGGGCAAGTCCGAGTCGGAGGAATACGACACCCTGGGCTCGGACAGCGACACGGAAGTCGGGACCAGCAGCCGAACCGAGTCTTCAAATCACCTCGTCGATTCGCACCACTCGGTGTCTGCGGCCGACTCGCGTGTCCACAGTATGCAAATCTTTCATCCTTCTATCTTTCGCCTTCTTTCATTCCTCCAAAAGGAATCTATCTCTATCTCTGTCTCTCTGGCCCGTCTCCAGTTTCGTTTGATCCTGCTCTTTTTTCAAAAAAAAAGAAAAAGAGGACGCGCTTCTCGTTCCTCGACCTCCCTTTTGACCATGGCCATGTGACAGGGAGAAAAAAAGAAGAAGAAAATAAAAAAATGTAAAAAAAAAAAAAGAAAGGGAAACGAAAGGAGAGGAGGAGTGTTACCTAGTTTTTTCCCCATGCACCACAGTACAGGATGTCCGTTCCCCCGTTGCCTGTCTATATATATATATATATATATTTATATATATTGTTTATTTAGAGTGCACCAAATATGTGATCGAGTATTTCACGCTTGTTTGTTGTCTTCGTTGGAACGGAATCAGGGGGAGAAGGGGGGAAGTCGTCGTTTCGAAGGAACGGTGTCGCGCGAGTCACGACATCACCCTTTCTATCTATTCACCGGGGAAAAATCGTTGCGTTCTCTCTTGCTTTCAGACTTCCTGTACCATGGACCAGAATCTAGCACGTCTACAGAACCCTCACCGATTTTTGAGAGAAAATCGTTTCCTGGAAGGGGAAGATCCAAGTAAGGGATTATTGTATATTCGTGGGGGGGGAAAGTTTGAAACGAAATGAATTAATCGATGCTCTGGTTGCCTCTCGAAGGATGTTACAGCTGGCGCGTCATACCAGCGAGGAGACCCGTTCCAACTTCGGCCCAATCTCCGGGTTTGGCAATTCCAAGCACCAGTCGAGCAATTCCTGCTCCAATCGGGACCAGGAGCGTGACGGATCAGGGAATCTGTTCGTCCCCAAGCTGGACCCACCCTCGGGCTTCTCCGACGCGTTTGAGCTAAGCGAGGCGGAGTGCGATCTCGATCGCGGCCAACGAAACGTCCGTGACTTTGTAATCGCGGTGTAAATAAAATAATGAAGAATTGTAGAGAATCTCCACGATGATATACCAAGCGAAACGAACGAAACCCCATTTCAAATATCTCGATGTAAAGGGAAAAAAGAAAAAGAAAAAGAAAAGAAAAGAAAAGAAAAGAAAGAGGAATACCATCGTGGTCCGTCTTTCGTTAATTTATTCATCGGCCATCGTGGCCATCACGATGGCAATCGATCGTGCGTGCCCCCCTCCGTTCGTGTTCCTGGCCTATGTCGATGGAAAAGAGAAAAAAAACAGCGTCGTATCCTAGAAACGAAACGAACGTACCTATCTGCGAACTCATGTATTCTTCAAACTGCCAATTTTAGTTTTTCGATTACGATCTCGGGGAAAAGAAAGAGCCCATCGTTCGTTCGATTTTTCCAATCGATCAAACTTTTTTATCGATCGTCTCGTTGTTTACGAGAGAAAACGAGGATCATCCTATAAGAGACTCGACTCGATTCCCCTACCTTTGCAACAAATTAGGTAAATTTTTATCGCAGGTTTTATCGAACGACGATTACACGGCATAATTGCTCGAGTTCGAGATCGACAACAACGTCCGTTTAACGTATGAGTTTCATTCGGCGTTAAGACTGCGACAGATGAGAGCCACTCATCTCTGCCATAAACGCGATACACGAGGAAGATTTTTTTCGACTTCCTGACGAGAAAAGACTCTTATTATCTTTTAATTAATTAATCAAAGACTCGAATCGTACTGAATACTAATCGTCGAAATCGCGAATCGTCCTATTAAGACTACGTTGCAGCATAGATTCCATTCGAAGAAATATCGGTTTCCATTCAATATCGAGCGCATATCCCAAACGAGCAATACGAGTGTTACGATTTGTTACGAGTTTACTTGGTCTTCCAATTTCGTAGATCTACGTTTTATCTACTGATTTTCAATCAGTCGTCTCTTTTCAATAAAGAAAAAAAAATGAATAACGTGAAGCAAATTCCTTTCGCAAGCGTATTTCTCGTTCGTGTGAACCAGCTATGTGTACAAATAACGAAAGCTAGGCCATGAAAAAACAAAAATGTTTGTTTCGTCGTTGTCATCGGTGTCGTTTCATTTACTGCGAGACTGAAATATTTTTTTTTTTTTTTTTTTTTTAGTAGATGAAACGTGTAGCCTAAAACTTTAACGTTCAAAGCAAAATAAGAAAAAGAAAAAAAAAGAATAAAATAAATAAATAAATAAAATTGTCTGTAAGATGTCTGTAATTACCAATGTTGTTAATTGTTAAGGTACGTGTTCGTGTACCTCGACGGAAAGAAACGAACGCGCGAACGACGCGGATCACGAAGAAACGAAGGGAAATAAAAAAAAGATTCTAGTTCTACTTGGTTGAAACGTTGAAACTGAAAGCGATCGTTTCGCCGCGTTTGAATTTCGCGCGTCGATTAACGATCGACGGACCGAGCGATACGCTATGGAAAACAGACGACAAAACCAAAAAACAAAAAAGCAAAAAAAAAAAAAGAAAAAAGAAATAAAAGATAAAGTAAAAAACTAAAGTAAAAAAATAAAAGGAAGAAAAAAAAACACGCAGAGTATTAATAAATTTATTCGACTGTCGTTAAGGGAAAAAAAAAAAAAAAAAAAAACACATCTATCGAGTCTACGTAAACGCATCTGTTGTCATCGAATCAGTTCAATACCGTACGTACAAGCAAATCGATCGTTCACTCGGCAACGTGACGATGATTTTTGAGTCTGAGTGCTCTCTCTCTCTCTCTCTCTCTCGTTATATCTCGGCGCCCCCGATCACGAAGCACGAGAATCGGGGGCTACGAAAGAAGAGATATCGATCTGTTGACAAATCGTATACTTTATAATATATGAACGAATGATTTACCACGAAATTCGTACTATTGTGTTTTTAGACGACTTTAGATTGTTTATATTCTATTTACTTTGTAAAATATACAACACTAATTCCATAACGGATATCCGATTGTCTGGCGCGTTATTCATTACTCCCCTCCTCCTCCTCTCGTGTCATCTCGATCTTTAAATCCGAATAAGAAACCCAACGACAAAAGAACAATACAATAAATTGACACGATACAAAAATTTGAAAAATGAAAATTTCTCCTCCCGGGATAATCGGATTGGTAACCTTCTCTCGAACGTACGAGCCTCCCTTCGTCCAGACAAAGGCGCTCCGATGGAGAAAGGGTTCGTTCGATGCTTTAAACGGTGCCGATCGATCGCGCACCGTTTTCGTCCTCCTCCCGATCGTAGATTGGGGATATGCAAAAGGAGCGATGTAGGTACGGTCGGTGTAGGGTCGCAGAATCCTCGATATACGGGCACGAGGAAGGAAGAAGGGCGAGGGAGGGTGAGGGGGGCTGTATGGACCGGTGAGGTCGAAACAGGGTTGGTGGGCATGCGCCGACGTTCCTTTCCTCTCCAGATACTATGAGCGGTGGTGTCTACGGCGGAGGTATGTGATACGCGGTCCGCAATATTTGCGGAAAAAAAGGGTGCGCCGTTTCGCAAGAGAATCTCGCGTAAATCGTTTCGATTTTTGCCGCAGACGAGGTCGGTGCTATAATTTTCGACGTTGGACACCAGAGCCTACGCGTTGGTTATGGCGGTGAGGACACACCGAAGGCTGAAATCCCGACCACCCTCGGTGTATGGGAGGACAGCATCGAGTCGGCGGACGGCAGTCAGAACGTCAGGAAGCACTACAACATCGATGTCACGGCCATTCAAGTGCGAAAGAAGGGTACGATCATTCCGTAATCCTATCAGGGCAAACGCGATTATATCTCGGTACTTCTACTCGTTCAAGTTTGACCCCTTTCCTCTCCATCGTAAATTCCATTTCGAAACTTAGAAAAAAAAAAAAAAAAAAAAAAAAAAAAAAAAGAAAAAAGCGGTATAGCCTTTTATCATCCGCGTACCATTTTTCTATCGCATCAATTTTGATTTGGATTAATATTGCGGATTCTAGATGAACTCCTTTATAATTGTAGCACAATTTGTATTCTTTTTTGTATATTTTATATTTTAGAAAATAAATGATTAAAGATGGTGCAACGCGGTAACGTATGACCTCTGACCTATTTATTTTATTATCCCAGATATGGAGATGGTTAGTTTAATGAAGGACGGGATGATCGAGGATTGGGACATGTTCGAGCGGCTGACGGAGTACACGTACAAGCAACGGCTTCACGCTCTCGCGGAACACCATCCGATCCTGATGACCGAGTGCCCTTGGAACACGAGGTTGAAGCGCGAAAAATTGCTGGAGCTGATGTTCGAGAAATTCAACGTTCCAGCAATGTACATCTGCAAGAACGCCGTTTTGGCCGCGTACGCGAACGGAAGATCGACGGCCATGGTTGTGGACAGCGGGGCGACTCACACGAGCGCGGTCCCTGTGCACGACGGTTACGTCATCACCCAGGGAATCGTGAAAAGCCCGTTGGGCGGTGATTTCATCACGATGCAGTGCAGGCAATTCTTCGAGGAGAAGGAGATCGAGCTGACCCCGGCCTGCCTGGTCGCGAGCAAAGGCAAAAATTCTCGTGAAATTTTCTCGGCTCGAATAATCCGATAAATCGAATCGTCGTTTCGTCGTCGACGAGAAAAGAAGACAGAGAAAAGCAATGGCGACGATTTAATCCGATGAACGGATCAAGTGTCGACTCGACTCGACTCGGCTCGACTCGGCTTATTAATCAGATAGAATCGACGTGTTGAGATGAGAAAGGAATGTTTAGCGCGTGGTGGAAGGGTTTCTATTACGAGGCACAAAAGGGAGCAGTTTGAATCCTTTTCAATGTGCATTTTGAACGATGAACGGCGCGCTGTGTGCAGAGCACTTGAGTCGTAATACGTTGAATGCATTCATTCAACGTTCGCGCGCCTTTACCGCACGCGCTGGCCAGATTTACCGAACACTTGTCATCGTTTCGCGCTTTTCAAAGGGTTAAGGAGTGTTTAGACTGTTCAACATTTTTCTCGCTGAAAGGGCATCCCCCTCCTCCCCCCTTTTATCCGACCCTTCCCTTTTCTAATATTTCATAATTCCGGATCTGACGTGATATGCGTCTATTTATATCGAGCCAACAAACGCTCAAACATTTGTACGGATACTCGAACGCGAAATTCTCTTCTTAAATTAATTCTCTATTCGTTCCCCATTGCTTCTCTCCGTAGAGATTAATCGTTAATCGCCGAGGCGAGGAGAAACACGATTGACACGATACGATATCGCACACAGATGTGGTCCGTGAAAGGGACCCACCACGCTGGATCAAGAGGGCCGGTCCCCAACCAACGTCTTCCTGGATGAGTTATATGGTCAGAGAGTTGTTGCAAGACTTTCAAATGAATTGTCTCCAAGTCTCGGACAGTCCTTACGACGAGGACGTGGCCAACACTTTGCCAATGAAACACTACGAGTTCCCGACCGGGTACAACGATGATTTCGGCTCCGTCAGGCTCATGATTCCGGAAGCCCTGTTCGATCCCAGCAACGTGAAGGGTGTTGGAGCCAGCATTCTTGGGGTTGGTCCTCTAGTCACCACCAGTGTGGGCATGTGCGACATGGACATCAGACCTGTAAGCTCCTTCTTCTAACTCATCTCGTTCTTCCGCAGAAATCAACGTGATAATTAATTAACATCGTTTATCGAAATGAAATACTTTTTTTTTTCTCTTTCTCTTTTTTAGAGTTTGTACGGAAGCGTGGTGGTTACAGGCGGCAATTCCTGCCTGCAAGGTTTTAGCGAAAGACTGAATCGTGATTTAGCCAGCAAGACTCCTCCGGTGAGTATTATTTTTTTTTCTTTTTTTTTTTTTTTTTGAAGGTAATGCGATCTCTTGGAGAGATTGACTGATTGATTGGATGAGTTTTACAGAGTATGAGACTGAAAATAATTAGCGCGAACAGTTCGAGCGAACGGCGATACGGTGCGTGGATCGGTGGATCGATCCTCAGCTCCCTTGGATCCTTCCAGCAGATGTGGTTGTCGCGGCAAGAGTACGAGGAATCGGGTAAACTGATTCTGGAGCGGTGCGCGTGATCAAAAGCTCAAGCAACAATCAAAATTATATTTCGTGATTATTTTTACAAATCGTCCGACATTCTCTACGTATAATTATAATTTGTGCGCGCGGTCGAGGAGACGGCCAATTTTTAACTAAGTTAAGTATTTCGAATGATCATTTCGGAGCGTTAAGGGCCAACACGAGACAATACGAGCGATCGATATCAAAAACGATTAATATCGAATGGTTTTGCGCGAGACGCGTGTTAGACAAATTTATATGCCCGAAGAAAAAAAAAAAAAAGAACAAACAAACGTTGACTAGCATGTTATTCTTAAAGCGTGTGCTATCGGTTCATATATTCGATGTAATCTTTGTAACTCGGAACTCGGTGAAAGATCTTTAAAGATTTTTTGAGATTCAAAGCTTGATACATAAAGATTGGCAAACAACAAAAAAGAAAATAGAAGCATCGAGCTCGAATCTTAAAATTTTCTAATATCGAGTGTCGAAAAGAAAAATTTCAAATGTTTGGTTTCTTTGAAGATGAAACATCGAGTTCTCTCTGCTTGGATCGTATAAAAAAATATTATTTCACTAGATAAATGCATGCGGTACGTTTCTAAAAGAAAGAAATACAGTTCCTAACTGCTCGAACAATCTTGCGTTGACAATTCGGATCTATCGTTCGATAAGTTACAATCGATAGTGCGGGTGATGATGGATGTCGAAAGAAAAAGAACTGATTTTGAAAAAAAGATTTCACCGTTTATTTCGAATCCGTAATCACAACAACAAATTACACAGTTATTCCAATTTCAGTTTATTGTTCACGCTATATCTCTATATCGTTCGTTGTTCCTTTCCTTGTTTCAATTTTCTTTTTTTTTTCTTTTTTTTTTATTATAATAAAAATAAGGAAGGAAAGAATAATAATATGATAAAATAAAATTGGGGAAAACCGCGAACCGCAACATTTCATTTTTTAAAAACGCGTCACGAGCAGTTCCAAAGTTCTACAACGACAAATATATAATATATTACGATAGTAGTAAACAATATAATATCTCTTATATAAATATATATATATATATACTATATATATATATATATATATATATATATATTTATATTTCAAAATAAATGTAGGAAATAGTATTATCGATATATCACATATACAATATGTATTTAGGAAGAGGCGAATTATTTTGTTAGAAAAAAAAAAAAAAAAAGAGAAGAGAAAAAGAAGGACCTTTCTCGCGTAAGTGGCGAAATTCTCATTCGTCGAGACGAAATTTTGGTCCTTTCAGATGTTTGATCTGCGATTCGATTATAATTAATACTTTCGCGCGTCCCAACAAATATTCTGTCCGCGAATGGGAATGTTTAAAAAATTTCGGTTGTGATATTAAAATTCGATTTAATTTTCTCGTATACGAGAAAAAAAAAAAAAAGGAAAGAAAGCGGAGTTGATTTCCGAAGAGGCGTCGAGAAACAATGCTCAACTCGTGTTACTATAGATACGCGATGGTGCATCGATTCAAGCGAAATTACAATTAAAAATAATGGTAATCTGTTTACCAATATCTGTTTTCCAAAACCATATAATCGAGTACATGCGGAGAAGAAAGAAAGAAAGAAAAAAAGAAAGAAAGAAAAAAAATATCGTAAATCGAATTCGCTGTTTCATTCATCGAATCCAAGCGGCGGATAATCGATGCGTTACGCTAACTAATAAATACTGGTATCGTTCTTATCATCGAACGACCAACGTGAAACGGCGTAAAAACCTAATAGCTAAAAGACGCATCATAAAAACGCATTTATACGTGTTTGTAACCATAATCGGTAAACTATCGCGTTTAACAAGTGTATCAGCCGCGACACTCGACCACGTGGATCGAATTCTATCGAATACATTTGAATCGAAGCGAGACTTCCTCGTCTGCATCCAATTTCTGGCTCGTTTGTCGCGTATTTTCGTTCTTCGTTTCTTTTAAAAAAAAAAAAAAAAAAACTCACAACAAAATAAAATCTAACCAGTTGTAACATAATCCTGTTCCTAGTCTTTTAAATATTTGTACCAAATAAATCTCAGAATCGATCGAACTTACAGTCTAACGAGTTGAATTTTCTCATTCAGGAACATCGGTATCGATAACACTTCATTGTGAATCGTAGTCCACACTTTTCAATCATCGTTCTCATTTCCGTATCTCAATGAAAAAAATATATATATATATATATAAAACGACAAACTGTTACGATTAATATTTCGAACGATGCTCGAATACTTTGCGGTTTCAAAGTTAAATACAAACGGAGAGGTATGATCGAACATGATCGTCTCGACGTTTCGCTATATCTACATTGTAACTGACAGTACGTAGTGGTTGTAAACCGTTGCAGTTTACGAACGACGTTATATACACTCGATTATCGACGTTATTCGAGGCCGTGTGGACGTGATCGAAGATGATTCGACAATAAATAACATACTTGTTTATCACGGCATGACGGTCGTGCTCATTCGTATAATCGTTGTTGTAAAAAAAAAAAAAAAAAAAAATAGTTTTCTTTCGTACTTCTGTCTTCTAGCTTCCCACTCGTTTTGGTTGTGGCAGGCCGCAAATGGCGTTGTGAACCGGCATAGATAACCAACCAGCCATCGCGATTCCAATGGAATCGGCCATCGTGGCTATGCCCAAGGAAATTTTACGATCTGCCCTTGGGATCTGCAAATCGGATGAGAAAATATTACGCGTCTTTTTTTAATTATTATTATTATTATTATTATTATTATTATTATTATTATTATAATGATATTAGATGTTAGAAGCTATGTGTACATTACATGAGCAAAGATACCATGCGCATAGATTAAGGAACGACGTTAATTTGTCAAAATAAAGTTACGTTACCTCGGTGGACATTCGATAAAATGTATTCACGTATGCTCCACCACCGAGAAGGCCTTCCCACAAAACGAACGTGAACACGATCCAAATACTGGGCAAGTAATAGAAGAGTGTCTCGAACAGCAAAATAATGACGTTGATAAACTGAAAGGAATACAAAGATATAAATCGTGATTATGCTCGATTACGACTATCGAAGAGGAGGAGGAGGAGGAGGAGGAGGAGGAGGAGGAGGATCTCGTAAGTTTCCATTGACAATATCGACAACGAGTAAATAAACTTTTAATCGATTTACCTGTAGGACAGCCATGATCCAGATTTTGTTGATCGTGACGAGATTGACGGACGATCTCGAGATAAACACTCCAATCTGATAATCAACCTGGAGCCAGCGATATTGCTCGGCGTGAGTTAACCAAATGCCGTCGAATTCGATCAGCTCGTACTGTAAAAAATTAAAGTGACACGTGTCGATGAGAACACCTGGATTATCCGTGTTATTCTATTACGTACACCCATACGTAATTGCGTCTATTCTTAGCCGGAAATTATAGCAACAATATTTTGTAATCTTATTAGCGTGAAATACATAAAGGCAAAAAAAAAAAAAAAAAAAAAAAAAAAAAAAAAAAAAAAAAATGAGAAACAATAGCTAAGAAGCAGAGGTAAGGAGGAGAGGGGGGCAAACACAATTCTACAAAAAAGCTCGTGTAACAAAAAAGCATTACCAATCCTTGGTTAATGAAATATTCGAAGAGGTACACGAGCCCGAGAGGAATCATATACTTCAGCAATCCCGGTACCAGATTGATCTTTTCTTTAAAGCTCTTCCTAGGGATCTCAATGATTTGCTCTTGGCTGTCGATACCGTTCTTAGTGATCGGGATACTGGACTGCGGCGGATGGACCAGAACCAACCAGAAAGTGATTCCTTGTATGATCGGTACGATTAACATAAGTAACAATGTATCTTCGTTGCTTAACCACGTGGTGAGGGAGGCATAAGATAGCGCGCCAATTATTCCGGCGCCTCCAGTACCGGAAGACCATGTCGCGATTACTTGTCTGCGAAACAATGAATCGCTCTCAATTATGATGGGCAATTTCAAAGATTAAACGGGAGAGAATTCGACAAACTGTGAACGGATTAATATCTGGCGATGAGTTTTAACGAAAAAAAGGAAAAAAATAAAAAAATAAAAATAATAAAAATAAAAAGAGACGAGAAAAAAATTAATAAAGAGGGGAATAGAACATGATGTAATATATCTTTTCTCAAAATCATTATCAAAATCTCGAATTTCCGAATAAATTCTTACGAATGATCGTGTTAGAATCGGATACACGCTTGAAATGCACGTTTTCACTCGTATATATGTATGTATATGTATACGTAGCCACGAGTCGCGAGTATGTTCCTTTCTGATGAACTTTTGCAACGGTAAGGTTAATCGTTAGTGAAGAGAGAATGACAAAATGACAGAAAGAGATAGATAGAGATAGATAGATACAGATAATAATGGGAAGAATAGAGTAGATCGTAATTAACAGTTATTACACATAAGTACAGACGTACCTCGTGCTCGCAACGAGTTTTTTCAGAATCCCGTACTATATACTTTTTTTATATGTTTCTTTTTTTTTTTTTTTTATCTTATTTTTCATATCAAAACTTTCATATCGTATTATTACACATATTATACTTTTTTTTTTTTTCTAGTCTTAAACATGGAAGGCCAACCTGTCGACGGCCATTATCTTATCTCTACTTTTCTGGAACAACTGTCTAAAATGTCAATATTGCGGTTTTATACTCCGCTGCCTCAATACCCTGCATCAATTGATTTTTACATCGTATTTCTTTTTTTTCTTTTTATCTCTTTTCGCCGTTTCTACTTTCGTCCGTTTTACATTCTCTACCTTTACATTCTTTTTCATTCCTAATTTCATCTTTTTTCTCGTTTTTTTTTTCTCTCTCGCGCACATTCTGTGATCCTCGAGCATCGGCTAAGATCAGAGACACACAGATAATAAGTTATTATTATTATCGTGTTCGTTAGAGAACGAACTAAAAGACGTTATTAAAGGACGAACGTAAGAAAAAAAAAAAAAATACGATGCGTTCGACGCATGCATTTGTAATTGCGTTATTTTTTTTTTATTTATTGCTGAAGAAAATTGAATGAAAAAAGAAAAAAAAAGACACGAGAACACGATGCATAAAACACGTCTGTGTACAATGTTCGTCGATAGAATAGAAAGAAAGAAACGATCGCGATAGTCATTCAGAGAAAATAATAATAATAATAATAATAATAAAGAAAAAAAATACCAACAATATGAATAGAAAATGGAGGGAAACGGAATGAATGGTACTTACTTCGGATACTTGTGGCTGTAACTCAGCAGAGTAACTTCTCCCAAACCGGAAGAGAGTGACGTTATAACGACGCCCAGAATGGCGAGCCATTCAGTAGTGCTCAACGACACCACGAGGAATCCTGCAGCGGAAAATAACACACAGGTAGCCAGTCGAGCACTGTAATTAACGATTCGATTAATCGATTAGCGTTTTTCATTCACGGGAAATAGCGACGTGCCCGCGGAGGGGCACGACTCCGGAGATGATCCGTCCCCCGAGTGTGTATAGCGTGGCTTTCGTGGCCGGAGAAAGCGTCATTTAGAGAAGTATAGGCCACAAGTAAAATGCGTGTGCGATGAGAAGCGTACGACGTCAACCGGCCTCCTACGTCTTCCAAAAGGAAACCGCGCTGAATACGTAATACGATTTTTCGCGCTCTCGTCACTCGTATCTTTATTCAAAATCAAAAAGGAGGATCGCGTCCTCCTTTTTTTTTCTCCCTTTTTCCTTCTCGAAAAATCTACGCAAATGTCACGATAATCATTATCGATGCGATACGCGGACAAACTCATCGATAAGATAAATCACGTATATTCGCGCGATCAATCGTTGCGCTACGACGTCACACGAATCGTGAAATCGAAAAAAATTAATGAGTCATTGTCTGTAATTTCGATTTCATTAAATTATTTAAATAGTTGGTTATCGTTCGAAAAAAAAATTCGATATAAAATGCAATCTCGTCCCGTCTCGTTCCCTCGTACGTTTAAATATGTTTCGTTTACCATATTACCGTTGGTCTTTCTCTCTTTTTTTCTTTTTCCTCTTTTTTTTTTTTTCAGTGCTCATACTGGCTCTTTTTCAATGCTCGACGCAAACGTTCGTTACGCTTATATATATACAATATATATATGTATGTGTATATATATATATATATATATATATGTATATATGTCAGGTTTACGTCGAAATTGCGATGAATGAACAAAATCGAATGGTAAACAATTGAAGACAAGATAAATTGGAAAGAAAAAAGAATGGATACTCACTGTACGTGAAAAGGCAGGAACGGCGTGATTATTTTCACCGCCAACGAGGGCAATATGTCCGCCAGCAATATGGCGCCGGTGGACAATGTGTTGCAGGATCTGATCCCTGTGTGGTTTGTCGTCGTGATTGTGCCATTCGTGAAATCCACTCCAGGATCCTTAATATAGTTGAAACGAAACCAAAGACGAAAGAAAACGAGAAAAGAAAAAAAAAAGAAAAAAAAAAAGAAAAGAATAATCGATTAATGCATCCTCTTCAAACGATAAACGGAGAAAAAAAAAATGTAACATTTTACGTAAAATCGGAAAAATCAGCTTCGTTTATTTATTTATTTATTTATTTATTTATTTTTTTCACGATTCGATTGGTACAATCGTTTACGGATACGGAAATTATCATACGCTGCTATCTCTATTTCACGGACATTACCACCTTGGAATATTAATTCTCCGTGGTTATTCACGGCTTACGTAAGTTAAATCGCGTTTCTAAACGTGCTCGAATCGCGGTCGAAAGAGCGCAAACAAGGAGACGGTGGAGGCGGCTAAAGATATTTTACGATACGAGATGCACGTATATGGATTTGTCGATGACATAACGAAAATTCTTCTCATACAAGAATCTGTTCAGTCTCGTCTACGTAATTCAGTTTAATTGTTCGCTTTAACAACTTTCCTCCCTTCTCCTCCCCTCCCTCCCTCCTCCCTCCTTCCGCTTCTTCTTTGTTATTTCTTATTAACAAAGCTATCTCCGCCTCGCCCGCCTCGTCAACAATGAGGATCACGAGGAACGAGAATCGTTTAACGAGACGATTAATCGTCAAGAAGAAGACGAGTCGACCGACGAGTTGCCGCGATATACATCATAATACTAGACGCGAATTAATTAAATCATAAAGTTTTACAATCATGATTAGAATTTCAGCCGCACGTTACCCCGTGATCATGCCGTGCATTGGATTACGGCATTGTTATGCCGGATCGTGTACATCGTTTACAAAAGTAATAAGTCTTTGAAACGTATCCAGATATTTTTTTTTTTTTTTTTTTTTTTTTTTTTTCCTTCGAAGCGTGAAACGTCTTTCGTGTAAACTTGGCCTAATCGTCGCGTGTTAAAAGTCTCGTTAATGTACCCGATAACGTCAAGGTAACGAGAACAAGAAAAAAAATAAAAAAAAAAAAGGAAAAAAAAGAAAAAAAAAAAAAAAGGAGCGTAAAAAGTTTCGAAACTCGAACGCATGGAAGAGGAGCCCGTGTTATTCATTAGCATCGATCGATCAGTTCGGCGCCGACGAAAATCCGATTCCTTATTTGGTAAATCGTCGAGACGATAAAAAAAAGAGACGACCCCCAAGTATATAGCGGACGCAATAAATCGTTCTGGATTGAAAATATCAGCTGCATTAAAAAACAAGCGTGTAAAATTGCGTGGGCATTAAGAGGTAAGACACTCGATCAACGATGTCGCAACGTTTTAGATCCGATTGAAACGATTATGTTAGAAAGGAAGGGATCGCGAAACTTTCGACCGATAAAAACAACCAACTTTTTCTTCAACTTTTCAATTACTTTCAACTACTCTTGTATTTTCGCGTATATGTCACGTATATATTTATCTTATGCACTCCCTTCGAACAGATATCACTCTTTTGTCTTTCCTTTTTTTTTTTTTTTTTTATTCCTTCCAGAAGTTTGCCATTAAGTTCGTATACACTCCTGCGGAAATTGGAGCATCATCGAGTGACAACAAGGAATCCAATCGATACGAGGACCTAATCGTAGTGCTGTAATACGGCCGGGTGTATAGTATCGATGATTCATCGTGTCTTGTGCAGCGGGCTCGTTATACGAATCCGAGTGCACTCGCTCGAGCGCTCGTTACGCATCGCTCGTCTCCGCGAATTTACACGTATCTTTGTTCGCCCATTATTATCAAGATTAATTGTCGCTTATGATTTACGGCCGCGTGGTTAAACGCGTGATAATCTCACGAGAAAATCTCAAGGAATTGACGTTCGAAGACGTTTCGCTTCGCGGAACGAGGCATCGGTTACGTGTCGTTTCGCAATCAAGTAGCGTCTGTCTTCCCTCGTTTGGAAACCGGTATACGCGAAAACACGATCGGAAGATTTCGTTTGACGTTCTTTTTTTTTTTTTTTTTTTTTTTTTTT